AATGCAAGTTATCACAGTTGACTAAAACCCCTTCCTCAGGTGACACAAAAGCAACAATCCAAAACTACATGTATAATAAATAAATAAAAAGCAATTAATTGAGGTTCTACAAAGCTTGAACCTACAAAAAAAATATGTCTGTGATAATTATGCAAAAAATCTAGGGCATACAGTTTCAAGGCTTCCACCTTGACATCGACATGTTTGGCACCAACTGAAATCTGCGTCGTAACAATGTTTTCCCCGTGTTAACTCCAATGTCCTCAAACTTATAGAAACCGAAGTTTTTAACATCCCTCCATAAAGTTGGCCAAATTCTGTTAAACATATAGAAAAAGCAGAACAATCGTATATTTTCCAAAACGGGTAAACAAATATTTTGGAGTATTTTTAGAATGTATATGTGCAAAATTCGAATTTATAGGAGTTCTTTAAATTGCTAAGGTTTAACTTAAATCTCAGAATCAATCAATCACATTTGTTGAATTTTACGGGGGTTTTAATAGGCTGGTAATCATACAGCTCGCGGTCAAGGGGTAGGATAAGATGCTACTCCATGATCCAAGATAATATTTTAATAAATTCCTTTTTATTTTATTTATTAACTTTATTCAAAAATCTTCCTACTATGTTGTCCCATTAATTCATTTAACTAGTTCCTCTGAAGTCAATGACGGCTGATTTTTTTTATATAAATTGCTCTCCGTACTCAGCTTTCCTCCTTATATAATCTCTTCTATTTGCTCCAATTTTCATTGACTCGGAAATTGGTCATAATTTTGTAACCATCTAGTTAATTAAAAGTAACTGCTATTGATAACTAAGAAACAATGAAAGTACCAATGGCATTTAATACGTGCGGTTTAGAACACTTTCATTTTGCTATGGACACGAAGCTGGCATCGGTAGGCTTATTTCGGAATTCGTAAGGGAACAATGCTTCGTTGTAGAGCTCTTTAGAACACACTTTAAAGCGTAAGAACAAGCCGGCTAGAGATAAATAAAATGCTGCCCGATCGATGGGCTTTGTCACCAACAGCCAAAGGATAGGATAGTTTTTTGCTGGCTATTTAAAGGAATCAATTACAACTGTCACAATAAACATCAGACGAAATGTCATATATGGATATCTTCTGCTCTGTTTCTTCTATTAAATCAGGCGTCGCACAGTGGGGCCAATTGACGAAACCAATATTTGAAAGGTGCAAGGTGGGCCATTTTGGTGATGGATATATTGGGATCTCGGAAACTGCGAAGAAGAATGGCTAATGGAGTTTGGTTAGACATATCAGAACTGTTTTAAAACTACCTGAAACATAAAGTTTTTTGACGTGGCAATTTTAGCACGCGTGATCAGTGCAAATTTGTAATAACACAATATTCGCGTCATTACATCGCCGACAAACAATTTTTGAAGAAAAGTCACTTATTATAACTTATTATTAAATGGAGGCTACCTTCTATATTTCGGAATTTGTAATAAAAAACTATAAGCTACCAACAAATACGACTTCATTGTTCCTCAAAATATTCACCCTGATGATTAATACACTTTTGCATTCGATAAAACCGATCATCGAAGCACTTTTCCCACATCGATTCGGGCACCTCAAAAACGAGCTTTTTAAACGCGTCAATCGCTTCTTCTGGTGTCAAAAATCGTTGCCCACGTAATTTATTCTTAATGTATGGGAATAAAAAGAAGTCATTAGGTGCTAAATCAGGACTATATGGTGGATGACTCATCAAATCAACGTTTTTAATCCTCAAAAAGTTCTTTGTTTACATCCATGATTCATCACCTGTCACGATATCATATACGTGTTTCCTTTAACCAATCCACACGAGCCTTTTTTTGAGCTGATGTCAAATTGTGTGGAAAATTGTATGTATGCTCTTCCCACTAATGCCCAAAGATACCTCAATATTGTCGTAAGTCCCATGACGATCCTGCGAAATCAGTTTCCGCACTGCATCAGTTTTCTTGGAGAGATGGCCGTACTTGTCCAAATGTTCATTTGTCTAAATCGTATCGGGCATTTCCGTGGAGAAAGAAATTTTTTGTTTACATTACAATGTTTTTAAAATACATCTGTTAATATTTACAGTGTCCAATTATTCTCCCAGCTAAAATTATTGATGATTTTTAAATTTATTCAATAAGCAATAAGATTTATCAATATCGCTACTCAATACTTCAGCTGCCACTATTTTGAAGATATGGTTGTCAATTAAAACACTTTGGATTATGCAAAAAATTAACCAGCTACCTACCATATCCAAGAATCAAAAAGTAAAAGTTACTTAAATAGTTCTCAGGATAACAAGTATGAAAAAAATTAAATTACATTAAAATTTTAGAAAAGAACAGCGCTTATTACTTAAAGATACCTATTTTAAAAGGTTAAATTATAAAATAAAAATCCCTTAGGAGCCAATGAAATACCTACCTACACCATCATGGTAGTATGTTTAATAGAAGTTGTAAGTTTTGTTAGTTTAAACAATAGCGTTAATTGTTGTTCTTTATAGATGATGAACGAAAGTAAAATAATTTAACCGCATTTTATAAATTAATTTTCTATTTGAGCCTCTCTCTTTATTTGGATAAATGTTTCGGCCGCTTTCGAGTGTTCGTCACCGGGGCCTTGCGTGATTTGGACAAATGCACATTATAGCATTTGTGGTTTTCCGTTCTTGGACAACCACCGATTTTGGACGATCCTCACGAAATTCATCTTTAAGAAGATCACGACTGAAGTCCTAATACAGTAGTCGTAGATGGTGCTTTAACTCCAAAAGTCGAATTAAGTTCATCTATGCATTTTTGTTGAGTTAGTCCACGTCTAAAGTTATAAAAAAATATTGCACAAAAATGCTCCCGATTAAGTTCCATTTTTAACCGTCACATTTTTTTTTATGTATAGCAAAAAACACAAACAACGCTCTTTCGCCAAAACCTAACTGAGTAAACCTAACCTCAAAATGTCAAACTTCCCTATAAAAACGTTAGTCGCCAGATGGCAGGACCCGTTTAAGAAAATCCCGAAATATAAAAGGCAGCACTCGTAGGGTTTTGGATATAAAATTGGTCATAGGCTTGACGTAAGGATGCGTCGAACACCCTTTCTAAGGATTTAATTGGAAACCTGTCGCTTCTAACAGCGATTTAAACCACGAGCGGTTAAAATATTTAATACATACGCCTCTTTCAGCCGCATCGAAAAGCTGAAGATGAAGAAAAATGGGGGCACTTTATTGCTCTTAAAGTCTGCCAAAAGCAGAAAGACAGTGGAAATAATGGAGTGGCTACCCACACCGACTGAAAAAGATTCAATTTTGAGCAAATATTGGATTTTAACACTTTTATTTGACGCACGTTAATTGTATCGTTTCTAGCGAGGTTGTGAATTTAAGGGGTTGAGGTTTTTCACAAATTTAGTTTACTTTGGTCCATCGCGTCGCTTGTATGTTTTATTTTGTCTGCACCAACAGACTCGTTCTCTAGGGTACCTTTTTCCTTTTTTTTACCTAATAGTTTGTCAATTTTGCCATTTTCATCTTAAGCATTCTTCCTGCATTTCCTTTTGTTATTTTTAACACCTATTCTAGCGTTAGCATTAATCTCAAACCAGCGCTGTTAAATTTTTAATTCGCTTAATTTTCAAAAAACCTGTCTAAAACCTGTCTTGTCGCATTGTCTTAGTTATTTTGGTCAGTTTATTCAAGAGAATTTTAAAAGTGTGCAACCGATTATACCTTTAACGGTATTAATTTTTTTTTTATAATTTCTAATTGTTGTACGTATTTGTTCTTCATCCTATTGTATTTTGTTTTTCTCTTCTAACCAAAATTAACTGAAACAATCCGTATTAATTACTTCTTCAGTTAGTTTTTATAATTTTTTTGGTAGAAAAAAAGCTATTCTTTTTTTTTGCCTTTTTTGAAGAGCATAATAAGAATATTAAAATGGAGAATAATTAATATGGAAATTAATTTGTACTCAGAGTCATGACAATAATTTGCTTAACTTTATGTAACTTTGTCTATCCCAAATATTTTTAGTATTCGAAATATATTTTTTTTCATATTGTTATTCATTAATATTTCCAAATAGTAATATAGACTTTCGAACTGTTTTAATTTAAATATAACAACATTTAAATATAACAATAACAAGCAAGCTGTAGAATAATATATTCTGCAACAAGTTTGAGAAGCGTCACTTTCACGAGTTTCTTTTACTTAATAAACGACTGACTGAAGGATTTTATGTGTGTTCATACTAGTTTTTAACACAACACAATACAAAGGGCGGGTGATGTGTTGCCTTTCTCTCTCTAGCCCATTTTGTTTTTTAAATTAAAGCGATTTTATGATGAGATTTATATAATTAACAATTCAAAGATAACGTCGCTTTTCTAATCACCACAGTTCGGACCCTCTACGTCATAAATCGATAATCAAATTATCACGTCATTAGTTGAGTCGAAATATGTTTACGGAAATAATCTTATTCTGTGTGTAATAATTTCACGGTGTAGTTAGAGCGTCTATATCATCTCAAACTTCCATTCCCACCTGATTTCATATACTAGGTGGCAGATAACAGTCACGGTTTTCGAACTGATATTTTATGATATTATTATTATTCTCATTTATTTATTTTTAATGTGTTCAAATATTTTTGAATGTGCGGCTAATCTCGACTATTTCGTTAATATATTTATAAACCCAACCCGTTGAATATTAAAATGGAAATAAATGGATTCAATTTTATTTCCTGAAAAATTAAAGCAAAATATTTGCTTGTGTCGAGAAATAAACATTCACGATTTTATTCAATGGAATTGAATTGAATGTTCTCTCCGCTCTAAACGGGGTTCGAAACGAAAACGTCAGTCACAAAATATCTTTTTGAAAGGTACAAGAATGTTAGCAAAATTCTGTTTTTAAGATTTTACTCAGCTTTAAAATGCTAAAACTAAACTAAAACTTACCTATCATAACAAGTGAACAAGAAGAGGCGAAACTTGGTGTGCGGTCCTGAGGGGTCATCGTATCATGCTGTCAGACGTTTTCGACGAATACTCCAATGACCGTTTAGTTACTGTTTATTTATCCGGGATTCGAGCAGGAATGAATGAATTTTGCTTGATAATAGCCCGCACTTAACATAGTCCGTTCACTACTGTTTTAACTAATTCATTGGAAAAATATTTATGCTGCGAGCATTTTCCTCTAGTCGTCGGGATGGGTATTTTTAGATCATTTCGGTTTTGGAAATAAATTATATGTATACAATATCGAAGTACGGCAGTGGCGCGTACAGTCTTTCAAAGTTCTCCTAAGGATGCTTAAGAAATTTTTATCATATTACTTTAAAAAAAAATGTTTTTTTTTTTGTGTACAAATGGTGAAATGTTGACCCGCTGTCATTTCTGGATATTTACACGCAGCAACAACAACTTGTCGCCATGGACTAATTTTTTTTTTTAAATATGTTAAATCCGACCTTGGATTAAGTATTCATCCTTAAATGTAATAATCATAATTATATAGTGAATAAGGCTTACAATGCCCTCATAATGCCAAGTTGCGAGAGTGCTAAAAAGATTCTTGTATTTTAGAAATCATGTATATATGATGGCTGATCGCTTTGAGTTCCAATTATTAGCTTATGGAAGATGCCATTGACATTGTACTGGAAACTTCAGCCTGGAATTTAGGAATTAATCGAGTTTTTTCAGGAAAGACAACTTTTTGTATCTAACACTCTAATAAAAATCAGATTGACTTTGTCCTCATAAACAAACGATGTCGATATAAAAAGGATCGCTGCTTATGCGTCTCATAGTCTGCCCATGGCTAACGTAAAACTTAAATTAACGAAGATTCAACATAAGTCTAGTAAAATGTCATTAGACAAAAGAGTGCTAATGAGAGATATCAACAAGAAACAACGGTAATGATGGATCGGGAAAAACTTTTCCGCGGTCCAAAGTAAGTGAGAATGGAAATATTATTTAATACATTGTGCATGGTATTAAATCAACAATTGTAGATAAGAAGCATAAGAAGCAGGAGTGGATGACTAACGAGATTTTAGATCTGATGGATGTCCGGAGGCAATATAAGATCCGATCAGATCATACAATGTATACCCAAATTCAACGAGAGATCCGGGTTAAGATGAGAATAGCAAAAGAACAGTGGATGGAAGAACGCTGCGATGAAGTTGAATCTTTACAGAACAAAGGGGACTCGTCTGCCTTACATAAGAAAGTCAAAGAAATACCACGCGTATATATAGCATAAATCTAGAAGATGAAATAAGCAAAACGAGTACATAACATCAATCTTTTCAAAGAAAATAGACCACCCCAATTAATTTGTATGCTCCCACTTATATTGAAAGATTGCACTTAAAACTGCAAGAATGCATAAAACGCTGGGCCCAGATGACATTAACATCGAGGCCGAATTATTATTAGATGATAAAAATGTGTCCTGTCACATCCCTTCAGTCAATATTTATAATGATCCCGAAGACTTCCAAAGCCGTAAAATATTAAGACCACCGCTTAATTAATTTAATGAGTCATCTTCTGAAACTGCTATTTCGAGCCACAAAGGAATACTCAAAAAGTTGGAAGATTTGAGTGGGGAAACGCAGTTCAGGTTTAAATGTGGCCTGGGTACAAGAGAGGCATGATCAACGTAAGTATGTGCACCTGAAATTGCTCCGTAATCCTACCATCAATCAATCGAACAGCTCGAATCAGACTGGAGGGGGAGCCTGTTACAGAGGAGTTTGAAATACTCAAATATTGTTTAACTTGTATGTGGAAAGCATATTCACCGTTGCCTTGGATGAAATTGACTGTCGAATTTAAGTAAATGGCATTCTAATTAATAACCTGCGCTATGCCGATGACACTGTCATAATTGCTGATAACAGCGAAGATTTACATATGATGCTGAATAAAATAGACAGTGTTGTAGTAGCTTAAATATAGACATCTCGAAAACTAAACATATGATCATTAGTAGACAGCCAGCAAAGATTTCTAACGATTCCATAGAGCAGGTTCAATCATTTAAATATCTTGGAATAGCTATAAACGATGTATGGGATCCACATGAAGAAGTAAAATGCCGAATCCAACAGGCAAGGCAAAAATTTATTGAGTTCAAACCCTTCCCCTGCAATCGTTTAAGATCCGTTATAGAATCAATAGGCTAGCGGCATTCGAAATGTGATCACTAAGGAGAACGCTTCGAATTTCATGGGTCTATTGTGTTCGCAATAAGGAGGTTCTCAAAAAAGCTGGGGTTGAGAGAGAACTTTTTGAATTAATTAAAAAACGTACAATTAGCTACCTCGGCACATACTCAGAGGGACACAGTACAAAATTAACCAGTTAATCCTACAAGGAAAGATCGAGGGCGGGAGAGGTGTCGGTCGTAAGCAGATTTCCTGGTTGCATAATATAAAACATTGGACAGGTTTAAAACACTTGTGAGCTTTCTCATGCTGCTATCAGTAGAACCGTGTCTTTGAGATAGTCGTCAAAGCACTGCGTATAGGGCGTGTGAAGAAGAAGGAAAAAAAGGTGCATATACATACGTACAAGCCGTTGTACAGATATGTATCTTATTTTAAACAATATTACATCTACAGTGTATTAATAAACAAAATTCACTTTAGAGCACAAATTGAATTGATATATATAAATATTGGATTATTTTATATAATCCACACATGCATATTAACTAACTTTTGCAGAACATTGCAGTTCCTGGGCTTTTATAGTGGCTACTGGCCGGTTGACTGGAGTGTATTGTTCAATTTATGAATATAGTTTTAATCCTGCTTATATTGACTGATTTCAGTTATTCTAGAGCTACACGCACTAAAGTTAGTAGACTCAGGCAAAATAATTATCGTAACTTCGACATTTTTTGAATTCAAATAAACCTGTTGAGATATGTGGATAAATAGCAAGAAGATTTCTTCTTAATTAATAAATTGGATATAAGTACGCACTATATCTAAAAGCAGCAATATTTTTGTTAAGAACGCACTCATAAAGCTATGCCTAGAAATAAAATACAATATTCAATAACAAAGATATTATAGCAAAATATCTAAACTTTAACATTTTGTGAACATAATTTATTATGGATTATATCTCGTATGCATGGCCAGTTTCCTAAAGGTGTCTTGATAAGAATGTCCATAAACAAAAGATGTTAAACAAAAATAACAATCATGTTGAAAATTGTGGACTGCAGAGAAGTGTTAGATGGTTTACTAAAAGTATTATAGAAAATGCAAAGAATTGTGTTGAATATGCGTATCTAGAGTTTTTTTTTATTAATTACGTGTTTCACCAATACAAATTGATTTTTATACATTAATTTAAAGTTACAGTTACTTTTTTGAAACACTGTCTAAATATTATACAGACTGATCTAAATTAAGTGTTCATCATTGATAACCATTGGCAAATTTGTAGAATATTTTCCATTGATTACAATGGTGAAAACAGAAAAACAATTGAATGTATGGTTTTAGAAAAAAATGGGGAAAATATACTCTTTTTGAATGGAAGACAATGTACATTTTTTACTCCAGCGTTCGTAAATGCCAACAGAACAAAAAACGTCATATGCTATTTTAACTCCTTTTATTGTTTTATGTTTTATGGTAATACGAAAATACCGATTACCGGTTAACCGATTAATGTAATTATATTCTTATATATTGTTTATATCTACAAAACAAGTTTTAAACAAATTCCTATTTTCTTCCTATTTCTTATTTTCTGATTGGGAATATGTATATAAACATTGATATATCGAAAAAGGAATATTCAAATCATTCGAAGTAATTGTTTCAGGAAATTTTCTGGTATGTTTATTACTACTTAGTTTTTTTCTTTTTATTGTTATATTTTTATATTTTATAGCCGTCATTACATTTCAACCCTATCTTTAGTCACAAAGTAATGATAATTATAAAATATCGAGTTACCTAATAGAAAAAAAATAATAGTCGATATAATAATCAGAATAATCAAAATTCAGTTTTGTATCTTTTTGCATTTTTGACAAGAACGAAATTAATAAAAACAAGGAGATTAATTCAATTATTGATCTGCGTGAGATATTATCACCGACGAAATTATGTTGAAATATATACGTGTTGATTCCGAATCGGTATTCTTAGCACTCTTTACATTCTATGTGGAATATTTTTCGCAGCAGCCTCGTTTCGAGTGCCCATTAATCAACTTACTCTGTATAAAAATCTCATTACTACAGCACGGACCCGCGCCCGATTAAAATTTCAACGATACCGTGAAACGTTTCGAATCCTTTTCATGTTAACTTTACTTCGCAAAGCGTTGATATTGCAACGGAATTTCCAACGGTTAGACGAAATCCGACAGGTTTTAAATGGGGAAACCACAGAAATTATTTTGACATCGAGGATATTTCACGTTCGGGACAATTCGAGCGGTTCACTGCCGACGTACCAATTGTGGTACGAAAATTTCGAGCGAAAAAAAATTACGAAGAATAATCTCCGGCGGGCGGATCCGAACTAAAAGCACCGAAACTGGCAAGCGTCACGACGCAGACGCCTGAGATTGAACCGGAATACGTCCATTTATTTAATAGTGCGAGTTTAGACGTCACTTTTCCAACCTTACTGTATAATATAAATCTAGTTTTTTTTTTGAGAAAAACAAAATCATATCTTTTGAAATAATTTGAATTTTATAAATATTAAAATTTTTTAACATTCGTCCTGATTCGGGCATCTCAGGTGTTAAAAGTAGATTTAATTTTATGACGGATTCAAGGAAGCTTCCATTAATTATTAATATTAAGAAAACAAGGGTTCACGGTTATATTTATGGAATTAATTTAAAGACAATGGGCGCATGCACACTTTCCAAATTTTTCTTTATACTTAAAAATTCCATTTTCAACTCCTTTTACAGAAAATAGCAAATAATCCAAAAATTATTTTTCCATCCATTTAACTTTTTATTGCGAATGTTAAATTGGTGTTAATGTCAACGGATGCGAGCGTAAATTCCCCATTATTTCAATGCGTAAGAGTATATTATGCAGAAGCTCGTTTATTAAACACTCGCTCCGCTAAGCTCAGCTCATGTCTGGAGGTATCGGTGATAAACGAGTTGCGTTCCAAAAACGTCAAAATATCATCACTGTTTTAAATATTTACCGAAACGCAATGTAATGAAACTGACATACGTTGCATTAGAAAATTTGTTGTTTAATTAGATAAAATTTACCATTGATAAACGTGAATATTTTTTTCTAACTTTATTTGTAAAGAGATTGAGAACCAATGACTTATTATTTAGTAATTTTCAAACACACTTTAGTATATTATTAAAAAAGTTGATATTTAAGTACCAGAACTATCCGAAAATTAAAAGGGGATTTTAATTCGTTTTAATCTTTCAACTTTGACAAGACTGTGAGAAATGCCAGCGAAATTTAAATTCAATAAATATGAATCAATTAAATTATTAATAAATGAGTTTGGTAAACAATATTTTAGTCACGAGTGTGTGTTGGAACCAGCCGGGCTTAGCTGAGCGTGTGACGTGGCCAAAATCCGAAGTGACTCGCGACCATGGGTTGCAAGTGACACTTCCGCACGCTTTATCCGTTGATAATTGGTTATTTTAGAGCGACTGATATTTTGCACTAGACGGGATTTAGTCATTTTTATGGATAATTTTGGTCACAATTGACAGTTCAGTATTATAAAAGTAGCAAATTATAATTCCTCGATACTTTATTAACTCAGTTTCTAACTGGTGTAAATACCGCAGTCGATTGCTTGATGATAACGTTGAAGGGCAGTTTGGTGATCATGTTACAATAACCAAAATAAATAGAACCCGCTAGAACGCACTTGATAAATACCAAAATCTTGGTATTCATTTACAACATTCTCTCAAATTCACTTAAGAATGAATCAAGACAGTATCGAGTCTCGTACTAAAAATCGGCCGCTGGGAAAGGAGCAAAATTGCCGGGAATTGAGCGCGTAACAGGCCGAAGAGCTGGGAGAGAACGAAGAAAACCTATAAAAGATAATATTCTGAGGTCGGCAGGACAAAAATGTAATATTTTTCATTTTAGACAGCGAGAATAATGGGGGCGCATTATTTGGTCGGTTGCGACGACATTTCCTTCCACCGGAGCTGCCGAAAAATCAAAATATTTTAGTACCGTCATGCGTTATTTCGGCTTTCCCGTCAGTCTAATGCAAATGTAAAAGATTTGATAATATTTTTTCTGTTTTTTTTTTAACCTCAAACGTCGTATGTTCTTTTACTTTACTCTACAAATTCAACAAACATAAAATATCATATTAAGATATACTTTGCAGAAATTTTTTTAAAGAATTTTAACAGTTATTTTATTAATGTAATTTGTTGTTGTTTTGGTTGTTTTACAAATTCTCATATTTTGAGTATTTCATTTTTGAGGTTTTTTGGGGATTTAATTTACTGGAAGTAATTAGCGCTACTATTCCCCCACCTAGTTTTTATTCAAACCAAGATAGCTTAGAATACTATCAATGTTGTACTGGCCAATGCTGTGTGTTTAAAAAAAAGTTTACCAATAGGAAAGAAGTAAAAAATGGTCGTTTATAAGCTAATTTAGTGCTAAATTGGACAGACAAAATGAAAATGGTTAGATCAAAATTTTGTCACATGTCTTAATTCCGACATTTAAAAAAGTGAGGGTCGGCGGATTACGAATTACATCAGATTAAATAAGTTATTACAAGAGATAATTGTTTATGTTATATGAAGACCTTCAAAGTAATTCGGATGGAAAAATACAAATTAAATTTATTACTCACAGTGACAGTATTACTACAGAACCTGTGTCCCTCATTGATGCACCGTTGATATATCTAAAGCATAGGCTTGGCGAGCTCGGCGTGCTAACATATGCTCGAAGTCGATATTCAAAGAATGTTGAGAAAAGATACTCAATATGCCCACGTGCGAGTCCTTTTAAAATTCGTTTTCAACCAATAACACCTATCATTCCAAACTAACCAATTGCAACATTTAACAATCAACATGGCCGCTGACGGCTCATCAATTGGACTGTCTTCTATGTGGGTGTAGTATTATCGGACAGTAGCACAACGAATTAAGTGTGTTGATATCCCTGTTTGGAGAAAAAATTGCGAAGTGCAGGTTAGTGTGTAGAATTTAGAGACTTAGAGATATTTTGTGGTTGGTTTTTTTCCAGCGGTGCAGTGGAACTCACAGAACAAATTTTAGTAATTGATTGTTTAAAACCAAAACTAATATATCTATTATTATTATGGTTTGCGATTTAACCTGTGAGTCGACTTCAATTTAAAATTCAAAATGCTAAGGAGTTATTGATGAGTCACATTATTTTGTTATACCTACTGTTTACTTTTCCGTAGTTCGACGGACCTATCGTAACTTATTGTTCAACGCGCGTTTACAAAAATATATTGGTTAGTGCCTTTTAAATTGCCGTCAAACTTTCTGCGCTGTCGCGGCACGGCATTTTGTAGCCACTACCTGACGATGAATATTCTCATTACCCAAGAGCTATAGGGCGGTACATTTTACCCTGTACCTAATAAAAATGTTTCGTACGCAATTCTCATTGTTCTGTGATCATCAATTGAATTTTTGACGTTATATACCGTTTATTTGTTAATGTTGTTTGCTTTTAAGTTACAATCATTCTTGTCACAATTTTAACAGAGATAAGAACGTTCAACATGAGTCCCCAAGACTTTTTCAATGACTAGAAAAAGCTGGGAATCCTTCAATATTACCCGATTGACCGGAATCTGGGGGAACCATTGCATATGGCGGGCGTTGTTTCTGACCGGTTCCATAAAATGTAGAAATCGGTTACAATTAGTGTCGTTTGATGTAAAATAGTGTTTTGTAAATTTGTGCCTATAAATTTGAGAAATAGTGTTCATCTTAATAGTGTCGATTGTTATTCCATTATGTATATGTTAGATAATTGCAGGCGTCGTTAGAGGAATCGGTCGTAATTTTATGACTATTTATTTAGCAGTTGGTCAACAGTATGAATATGTTAACAAACCTGAAGGATGAAGGATTGGTCCAGACCCTTTCGTTACGAAGGCATTCTATAGAAAAAATAGTCAATAGTTACCTGTGTTTGTAAGCTGGCCGAATGACCTTATGTAATCTTGGCCATTAGAAGTAAAATTAACCAACCCGATTAGCCGCCACCACATTATACAGCGTTTGCTTATGTTCGCGACCATTGTTAGCATGTAAGTGGGGCGTGGTCCGGGGTGGGCTCTGCACCACGTAGTTTTGTTTTTTGATTTTGTCGGATTTTTTTTTAACGTAATAGCAACCAGTTCACAATACCTATTTGACTTGTAACCTCTTTGTGTTAAATAGATATCTTAAAAATAAAGTGCGAGTTGACATGTACAGCAAAACAGATCAGCTCAAAATTCTTTTGTTTTTAATTATAAACAATAAAACAACGCACATAAAAAATATCTTTATTGATGTACATAATAAGTAACACATGAAATCTTCATTCAATTACACCAAGGATAATCTTCCTTCTTATAAGCAGTCAAAGGCAAATCATACATAAGCGGAAAAAGCTGCTTGTTCTTATTTGTGATAGTGTTTTGTATTTCGAAGTAATCTTCGTCAAAAAAACTGGGCAAGAACAAAACTCCAACTTCGCATGATCTTACATAGGAACCGCCATCTTTCTGTATATTACTTCCCCACGCCGATTTTGACAAATTGGCACTCGTCAGAAGAAAATATGACAATTTATTTAAGCAGGGTGACACACGACAATATGACTTAATGTGAGGCATTGCTCGAGATCTATGTCTTTTATCGGCTTTCCACTGACTAAAATGGGACAAATATCAACTAGAGCCATATTACATATCAATCACATTGTGTCCAAAGGATACAATGTGATAATGTTTACAGAACTACATTCTAAATGGATTGTCATAACCATTGTCATATTTCAAATTTATTTGTGAGCCCCAGTGCTCTTTGGAAATTGTTATACATAAAGTAAACTTACTGAAGATAATTGTGCAACCATTTCTGTTTTTCATTAGTTGCTTTAGAATATGGAAGACATCCTCCACTTTCTAGACCAAAATATCCGTTGGCCACATTTTCTACACTAGGATAAATGACATTCAATGTTGCATTAGAACTATTTGGTAAAGCGCCTTGTTTGTGACTAGCTAAACTTCTTAAAATACTGCCCCTTAACCACTCAGCTGGAGTTTTCCCTAGAGATCCTAAAATTGAATAGATTTGTTATTAAGGATGTTGAGAATATATATATATATATATATATATATATATATATATATATATATATATATATATATATATATATATATATATATATATATATATATATATATATTAAATATTACAACAAACTAACCAATACTAGAGGCTTGTGCATTTATACCCCAGGAAAGGGGACCTTCGCTTTGTGGGGTAGTTTTTGCAGGCAATATTGAATGTTGACTGAGTAAATCACCTACTTTGTGTAAATGGCACCCATTTCTTTTGGGATAGTGCTTACCTGGTGTGGAATATACTAAGGAAACTCTGTAAAGAAATATTTCATTTCTTATGCATTTTTACAATAGAAACTTGCATTTACTTTATGTTTGAGAAATCACAATTCTTCACATATCCAATCCAATCATTCAAAATTGGAAGGCTGTATGACTTTAGATAATTTAAAAGATCTGCTTTAAAGCCCGTTATAGATTCTCCACTGCTAGAACTACCTTCCTCAAGTTTTGGACACCTTGGGCTTAGCCACAACCTTAAAAAAACTTGAAATAGATAAGTCAATTTCATTTTGGAATATTACCCTTGATTGTAATGATTCCAATCTTCATAATACAAATTGGCTGTTGAGACTACTACCCTCAGAGAATCATCATCATAAAGGTAAATACCAACTTTTCTACAAATGGTAATAAAGAAATAATTTCACAGTAAACTTTTAATCACTTACGAATGATGTATTCCAAAGGGATCCTTCATTTTGACAAATTTATATTTAACATTTGGACAGAATCTATCCATGAACTCGACCATATCGGGCCAATCATCTCCATACAAAATAGTTAGTGGCTTTTGACTATAATGTAATACTAATCACTAGGTTTCAGTAATTTTGACAACAATAACTTACTGTAAGTCTCTTGCTTTGTACTGTTTCAATAACCAGTCTATATCAATCATGAAATTAATTTGCAAGGATGATTTTAATTTTCCTAAACTTGGGCATAGCAGATCTAAAAAAAAAATATATCTTTTAAAAACTTGATAGTTCATAGATGGCATAGTTTATAATTTACCTATAAATGTTATCCCATTTTTTTCCTTTGTAGTCTCTGGAGACTTCAATATAGTAGTGAAAAACAAATTATATGGACCATTCTGTTTAAGTTTTTGTAATGTAGTTCCTGACTGGCAGTGCATAACTTCATCACAATCACCTACATAATTTGTGCATTTTCCTTTTCGCGATGTTTTCTTAGTTGTTCCACTGCTTGTAGAAGCTTCTTTGGTATTATTTGTTTCAAAAGTATCTTCTCTTGAAGGAATTTGATGGATTGGACTGCTTGAAATATTATTTTGTGATTTTAGGATGGGTCCTAAGATCTCTAATTGTTCTAAGTAGAGTTGTTTAGGTTGTGGCATATTGTCAGGTATTTTATCCAAATCATTCATATCTAACCACTTATTTACTACAACATTACAAAAATTAATTTGGCATATTACACTGCACTAGTTCTTACAATGCACATGTTCAAATTCTTTAAAATGGTGAGGGTTTTTCCTGTAGCATCTTTCACCATGAGGACAGCTTTCTCTTTTGGGCTTTTTTCTTGTTTCTATATCTAAATTCTTTTTGATACAGCTAAATTCGATAGAAGTTTTACCGGCTTACCTAGTTCCTGAGGTTTACGTTTAAAAAAAGATTCCATTTGGGTAATTAATAATAGTTTCCACAACACAGCAACAATAATATACAATATAAATTGGTAAATTAAAAAAAAGGTAGGTAAGGAAACTGTCATCCAAAAGTCCTAGGTTTACTGTGCTTAGCCGGTGTTTAACTCCTGTCGAGTTTGTAACTACACAAATGAAAAACAGATTTGAAAAATGTCCCAAACCACAACCCATTAACTTTAATATTTAATATTATATGACCATATGGGCTACTTTAAAAGTCTTCTTCTTTTGGTTCGAAATTAAAGTCTATATTTAAAAACGGAGCGCTCGTTTAGAGCGAGCAGTGACGTCAGCTGTTTCATTCGAATCATATTTTATGTGTTATTTGTTTATAAGGATCAAATAACATTGTGATGCTGTTATTGAGGCTTTTAATGCTATCAATAATTGAAGATGAATTTGTGTTACAAATAAATATATTTAACACCAACATTATTCTCCTTTATCCTTTACTGTTCTTAGCCTATATTGAATTGTACAATTAAGTATAAGAAAAATTATTCATTTGGTCTATTTTAAACGTATTTATTACAATATACAGTATGCCCAAGATAAGGATCCTACAGCTGCTAACTGTGCTACGTTCCAATCCACTTTCCAGGAAATCGCTGCCAAAGATTCTCTAAATGAAGGTTAATTAATTATGATAAATAAATAAACCTAGTATTTTAGTTCCTCAAATTCCACACCTCATATTAAACCCAAAACGTTGTTGATTTTGTTGAGCCCAGTAATGCATATTATGGTGGTTGAAGATCCTATTATGAGTGACCATATTTTCGTCGAACCATATCATTTTGAAAGGGAAATATAAATTTTCTTCACACACGCATGTATACCACTCGCAAAAATGTTCGAAATCCCCTGGTTTAGGTCCTTGGCGAATCCTAAATTTATAAGGGTGATATCTATTTGTACCCAAAATAAAAAAGATTCCTTTTTTCTAGGCTTTTTAAATGAACCATATCCTTTGAAATTTCGAGTCAGAAAATGGACTTACATGTCTGCTTTCTTTCTGTATTAAGATGCATTTCTGTTGTAGGTATTTACAGTATTTTTGTGGCACAAAATGTAGTACGTTTACTATTTTTTTAACTATTTAACAATAAACAATCATAACGGCAATAGTAATTATAACTACTTTTTGCACTTTGTTTTTGGGCCATACAAAAAAATAAAGTTGATGATAGTTTCTTGAAAACGAAACGTCGGATATGAAATCTAAAAATGCCATCATATAGTACCTTAAAAGTGCCGGTGAGAAAGTGTTATTAGAAAAAAATAAAATCGACATTGTCAAATTTCCATTTTTCGAAAATATTTCATCAGGTTATAAAAGTTTTTTCAAGTTTCTAACCTGCGTGTAAATGAGCTTTAAAGAACACTTATCACAAGAGTAGGGCTTGCGATGGATGGGATAGCAGTAGGGAACACTCCGAATAATTCTGTTTGGAAAGCAACTTACTTAAATTGCAATTTTTTGCTTTACATTTTACATCTCCTGGTGAAATCAATACAAATCAATACAAAACAAATCAATCAATACAAATAAAGTCACCATTTATTGAAAACATCATTTGTTATTAAATATTTCTTTGCATTTTCAAAAACCCTGTTGGCAGATACACAACAAATTAAGTAGATACAGTGTATCTCGGCGAAAACTAGACAAACAGAAAAAATGCAATATAACACTCTACGTTTCAATAGCAAAAAATGGCCACACGTGAAGTTTATGTCGAGAGGAAGATAAACTGGGATTCTTTTTCAACCCTCGCTGCGGGGCTATATCCCCCTTTAAGTTTGAAATGGAATGAGGGCACCCTATTTTAAGGGGTTATTACAGCCTGTACCAGTTTTGGAAATTGTGTTTGAAATTGCGCTTGCAATTGAAAAATAAACTTTCTTTCCTTTCTTTCGTTTTTTGCTTCTAAAACAAAAATGGCTTTATAGAGCTTTATCTCGGCTTCGCTGGGACGTATTGTACTGCACATTCAATATATACAACAACAAATTAAGGACTGCAAATTTAGAATGTCTAGTGTTTTAGCATAAAGGTATCATAGATAACTCGACTTTACAGACCATGGCATACAACGTGCATAAAGGTCTTTGGACATTCAAATTGTAGTGACGCTTCGCTGAATGGTGAACAGACTGACCAGTAACCAGTAATCATCAGTAGTATGTCAAATATTTAAGTTGACTTTGCTGGATCCGATGATTTCAGTTCCTCTTGTAATTTGTTGCTTGATATTTGATTGCTCTCGATCCATTTGGCCAATTCATCAGGTAAGTCCGGCTTGCATTGTTGTTTAAATTTTTCTGGATCTGAAGTATTTTTCGGCGGCTTAGACATTAGATCAGCCATGACACTATCGGCGTTGGCCTCGACCAATCGCATCTTGCATAAAGCTATCGCGTTGACGAAATTTTCCCTTATGGTCACGAAACGATGTTCCAGGTAAACGCTCTGTTCGTCCCAGTAGACAATCTATACAAACGGCGGTATTGTAAATAATACAATTAGCAGTACGGAACAGCAAACCGTTTACCTTTGTGGTAATTTTGTATTTACTGAAAATTTTTATCCATCTTCTGTACCTGATCGTGGTAGCACTGACAAATGTGGACGCCCCATGACTTTTAAGCTCTCTGAAAAATGCGGTCCGTTCAAAGAAATCGATTTTGGCAAAGTCCAACTCTCTCAAAAATCTTGCATTGTTCATATGGTCGAGAAAATAATCTATGTCTGTAGAGATGCATAATCCTGAAACAAGATTAAAACCATTAACAGGCATAGAAGTTATTTTTAGATCTGTCGAAGTAGTACGAGTTTTTTTATGGAGGCAAGTAACAATTATGTCTAGGTTGTTAGTATCAAATATAGTTTGTCTCAAAGTGTTTGGCTTTTGCCTGCATTTATCGAAGTTAGCTGCCGGGGCCAATATAACTAAGGACCGAGAGGTCTTAGGGGACAGAACATTAGGCAGGGGTCCCTAGTCGCTCATGTATGAACGAATTATTTAAATATATACGGTATGACCATGAATGGAGTAGACAAAAGGACAAATAGACTAAAAAGTGAAAGATACGGAAGAAAGTTTGTTTTTTTTTGTACAGGGTACAAAAAAAATACAAAAATGTAAAACTTGCTAAGGCGTAAAGTGGTCTTTTTTACAGCTTAAGCGCAGATTAATAAATTATTATCTATTTTATTTGATTGAATGTACTACAGATTGACTCCTTTGAAAACACATTGTTTAAATCACTAAAAAAGGTTTATAATAAATTTTCAATTATTTGGTGTAATAGGCATGACGACTAAAAAAATGAAATATTAACTAAATAGGTATAGATTAACGTCACATCATTAAACAAATTAGTTTAAAAGAACTTGCAACAAACACACACAACAAAGACAACATCTTGGAACTGTCGAATATAAAGCATTGCTTAACATATCAGGTGTAATGTTTTGCAACGCTTCAACAAATAGTCTTCTCAGTTAACTCTCAGTCTGAAAAATTAGCTTTTAAACATATTTTTTACAATATCTTCATATAAAAAAGTTGAGCGCAGTGGGGTCCGGCGAACTATGTACGACACAATACTATTCTACCTTGTTGAAATCACATTAAATTTTCAATATTTTAGTGTAGTAATTTTATTGACATATTGGTTCAATTTTTTTAACGTTGTTGTTGTGTCTTTTTGCTGTCGGTTCTTTTTTGCTAAACAAAATGGTGCTTTTTTATCTGAAAGAAGTTCGTATTTAAATAACTACCCAAACAACCGAGTACAAACATTTTTGGAAGGTTAACTGCAAGTGTAGTTTTATTCATAAATAAGCCCTGCAATGAAGGAAAAGTGAATAATATATTGTTTAGCTAATATTACTACTGGGAAAACAATAATTTCACTTGTTCAATTCAGAATTTGTCAAGCGCTCAGACCTGGTGATGAAGAAAGGCGAAGGACATTTTGCGAATGGCATACTAGGAAGTGTCAGAAAAATGAAAACTTTCCCTATGAGATTATTTGGTCGGATGAAAGTATGGTAACAAATAATTTAATTTTTAATCGACGAAATGCTCATTATTGGGCAAGGGATATTGCTCTATTACACCGAATATCATCTAAACGTCAACATCGTTTTGGGTTTAATATATGGGTTGGGATTTTTTGACTACACTTAATAGGCACTTTTTTATAATGGTTTTCTTAACTCCGAGCGTCGTGCAACCTTCTGGAGCACGACATTGAAGAAGCTTTGGACAACGCTTGCAAAATTTCGAAACTGTTGGTTTCAACAGGACGGCGTACCTGCGCACAAGCCTCTAATCGCGCGTGAGTACTTTTCGAATAGATTTCCGGAAAAATCACTCTACTCGATTTTTTTATATGGAGATATTGCAAAAATTATCTTTATAAGCAAGTTTTTAAGACTAGAAGGCTAGTTGTTGAAGCCTTTCAAAACATTACAACTGATGTGTTAAGAAATTCAAATTCGACAGTTACAAGGTGTTATCTGTGTTTGAACATTCTTTATAATTTAATGCGATTTATTTAGCTATCATTTAATTTTTTTAATGATCATGTCAGCGCCTACTACACCAAACGAAACGTCCTGCTTAAAATCCCTCAACGCCATTTACTAGAGCTCCAAAAGTGGCAACGAAAAAGTCATCACAAAATAACCTTTAAACCAAATCGGTAAATTTCGATTTTTTGGCGTAATTTTTTTTAGTACCCTCAACAGCACGTTATTAACCATTAAAGTTTTGGTTTCCGATTATGGTTTACGATATCCCCATGATACACATCCTTATCTTCGACACCCTGTATACTAGTTTTATTGATTCTAAGAGTCACTGATAAACCGAAATGAGAAAAAAAAAGGAACACTATCCCACAGATTTGGGACCTAATGTAGGACCTATAAAACATCTATAAAAAAATTGTAGAAGCTACATTAGCTAGAATAGAAGTAATTTACTAAAATTAGTCTGTAAATTATTAATAATTCCACTAATGAGTATATGTGTTCAATAAATATTATGTATGTTGGTACTGAAGTCCAACTCAATGTCGCGAACGGAAAGCTAATTTTTTATTTGATGTCAGGTCTTGATTTTTATCATTTTTCCGTGTACTACAAAATTTTCCACTTGATATTGTCGTGCGTCCGTAAAAAAATGTTTTATAATATGAGCGCATTTTTATAATGATCAGATTAGCAGATATGTAGTGCGTTTGTTTAAGTAGGTATAATAATAATATTATATATTATAATAATTAATTAATTATATCATTAATAATAACAATAATAAAGATTAATGATTAATAAATTAATGATTTGACTTTTAGCGCAAGCACGTTTTAAAAATAAGGCTTGAAGGCCAGTACTGCATCTGGGATTATAAAGTTGTTCAAATGGTCATATTTTTCGTTTGTAACCATTTTTTTTTTATTAATCAATCAAGTAAAAAATAAAAAAGGGTGGTTAAAATAAGACATATTTTTTTAAACAGTGTTTACCTGTAATAGCGGTCTCGTCCAAAATATGCACCTTTTTTTTTAAGAATCTAGCAACCAGTATGCACAAACAAGTCCTAAGGAAGTAATTCAATTCCAAAATGAGATACGCGCACAGCACTGCACAAATCAGTCCCAAAATCAAAAAGCACACATCGAACATATTTCCCGTTTAAAAACCGGTATGCAAAATTACAGACGCAGCAATATTTTTGTATAAGCTCCACCCGGCAACGCACTGCTCACCGTTTATGTGAATCATTTTAATTAAACGGAAAAATTTCTTCAATATATATTAAAATTGCAGCAACAAGTTTTCAATGAAACGGACCTTGTTAACGATTTTTATTCGCTTGTTTCTCCGTATAGATCTTGCGCCCGTGTTTGATATTGGTAAAAATACTTTCCGAATGTAGAGAGGCGATCCGACACGCGCGTGTGCGAAAAGTTCGATTTCAAAAACCTATGACGATTATGTTACACAGCTTCAAAGAAATTAAACATCGGTGATTTTGGTTTATTTTGCAGGTACATTTTTAGAATAATGTAGGTAACATAAATCGATCCGAAAAAAAAAATTAACCTTTACAAATAACTTCGGTTGATGCAACAAGGGTTTCATGCGTTTTTGAGATATCTATCGTAGCAGAATTATACTTATTAATATATAGAGGCAAAAACAAAGATTATATAAAGGTATGTGGGTTTTGGTTAGTTTTTCTTTCATTTAAAACTCATCAATTTAAAACTATAATTATTTTTGAATGGAAACTATACCCAACTCTGACTTTTTTTCCGAAATTATTTGCAGCAACAACTGAAACTATTCTTTTTGCCCATCTGGCAAAAATGTCTACGTCAGCTGTCAGCTAAATTAATTTTTTGTTGCCCTACTGACCTCCTTCTCAAATGTATTCACGTGTCTGGTAGATTACATAAAAGGTAAATAAATAGCATCAGATTCCTGCAAAATGAGCCATTAACCATTCAACTCTCGTGTGAAACTCAATACCGAGAAGTCACTACTTTTGCCGGTTTCGATTGTTTTCAATTATTGCAAAACTAAAATCGTAATCGCCAAGCCATCGAATGAGGTAACGATCGTTCAAAATTATAATTTTCGCTTTTATGTTAATTTTAGATACCGAGTCGCTATAATATCTATGAATACGAAAACGGATACATATTTGCAAAAAATCATTATACTCGTGTGACAGAAAGTTGTCGTGTACTGATTATTTATTTGTTAAAACAAAAGAGCAGCAACAAAGAACAGATTACTATCCTATTTTATTATAACCTAGAACAAATAAAGCAGTAAATGTGGAATTACAAAGAATCAAACACTAAGTTAATTGTAACACTCTAATACAAAGGTTAAATAATGAAAAGTGGACGGGCATATATCACGAGCAAGATCCCGAAAAATCTGCCGACCTGTTTATTTCCCACTTAATGGACAATGTGATATTGCTAGAAAAAAATGAATTACAAACGGACTTTTAAAATCGATTAATATTAAAAATAAATTCTACCATGAAAATAAAAAAAAACATTATACAGCATATAAAAGAAAACTGCCTAAAGTCATTAATGAAGTAAAAAATGTGTTTTTTTAAACGTAATTAAGAGCGATAGAAATAATAATGCTGGTTCGTGGAAGTGTACACAAGAAGAGTACACAAAGAAGAAATTCTCGATAAACAAAATACAAAGCAGAGATGGCACGATAAAAACAGAAAAAAAGGATATTGCTAATGTACGCAATGATTAATTCAGCAGCATCGGTCAAGAACTAGCCAATGAAATGAAAGAATCTCATACAATATTTGCAAAAGAATACCTGCCTAACTCTTATATCTCCAGGAGACCCACTTCAGCGAAATCAGAGGCACTTTAATCCAAAAAATCTCCTGGACTTGACGGCATATGTTCGGAAACACTCAAAAAAATAGTAAATTTTAATATGAAACCTCTAACTCATATTATAAATAACTGTAAAGGGATATTCCCAAAATTTTTCAAAAAGGCTATAGTTCGACTAGTATATAAACCAACAAACCGTACAAATTATATGCCAATCTCCTTGCTCTCAAACTTCGCAAAAATTCTTGAAAAAATATTAAAAAATCTGAAATCACTCTGTATTTATTTAGATATTAAGAAAGCATTCGATAGCGTAAATCACAAGAAGTTGATTGATATTTTGGAGGGTATAGTATTTACAGCAGTAGTCATGCAGGATGGTGTGCTTAGTTGTGAATGAATGGTTGTATATGGAGTTCCACAGCGTACTGTATTGGGTCCAATTTTCTTTGTGTTTAAATTTAAATGGCCTGTGGCCTGTGCTGAAAAATAACGTCGAAAATGAATTAAAATTGTTGTACAATTACTTTTCCTAAAAAGAGCTAACTTTAAACTGTTTTCCTGCCATTCTCCTGTGATTCGCGTACCTTGCCAAATTTCATAAAACCTCGAATCGAGACTAAACTGAATGAGTTTATAGATATAGTTTCCCCTGAATATGTTAAATACCTCGGTATCTACACGGACAAGCACTTGACTTGGATATATAACACTGATAAACTTATTAAAAAATTGAAAGCCCTTCTCTCTAGTATTAAAAAATGGCAGCGAATTTTGTATAGTGCATTGGTTGAACCAGATCTTACATACAGTCTCTTGAGGTGGGATGGTTTGACTAATAACTACTACAGGAAAATTGAAATTACCCAAAAGTGGATTTTTGAAGTTATATATAATAAACCGCTGATTTATCCTACAGAAGAACTCTATCAAATGGCAAAGCTGTTATATGTTAGACAATTATTTTTTTGCCAAAATTGCGAATTATTATTAAAAACGCAAAAACAGATTACGAGCACGATTATTCGATACGACAACGCAAAACCTACGTCTAACAAAACGAGAAAAGACTAGAGGTCAGAAAAGCTTTTCTTACCTAGTAACAAAAGTTATTGGCGTGGTACCTAAAGTGATTCAAAACTATAGACGCTACAATGAACATAAAAACGAAATAAAAGAATGGGTTAGTCAGTAGCCGAGACTTTATATCCAACAAGTATATTTAAAAAATAATTATTCTATTATTACAACTCATTACGTTTTTAGTTAAGATCCATATCGTTTGTTCTGATTTTTGCAAGTCTGTTATACGCCACACACTTGTTCCCTGTTTATTTACTACTTATGGATCTCTACCGATTTAATGTCCTTTTGTATGTGCTATTTGTAAATAAACTATTATTATGTAGCTTTTTGAACTAGCTATATTGTTTTATAGTAATGCCCGATTTTATATAAAATGGTTAATCCGTTACATATTTGTGTCTACGATATTTTAATGAGAATTTGGGAATTGTTTTCTCAAATCAAATTGAATTCAAATATTAAACTATTTTTTTTTGTCTAAATTGATAAATATTTGTATTGTGAATATATTTCACACAAACATTCGGTTGTTTGTGTGAAATTGTCTGACAGTACACTGAGGATTATAATCGTCCTATTGGACGAATTAATAGATCTCAGTACTCTTTTTTTCTGCCCACCTAAGCGTGAATAAACAAAATTACAGATAATACAAATATATTTATTTTTAAAATATAAAGTCAAAACAATCACAGTGTTAAACTTAAGTTTAAAAAAGAGGTGCTTTAGAGTTATCACATTCATTTAGAAGATTATATTCTGCGGCATAAACCTTAACTGAAAAATATTTTTTTCTAGGAAAATGGGAAATTTTTGATTTGTGATAGTGATTTTGTCCAATAAGGAAAATCTGCAACGTGAAATCCTTAAGTTTTAGTAGGTTCATGATAGCAAACAAAACCTAAACTTAGCACCTAACAAAAAGCAACCTCTGTTAACTTAAATGTGCTCAAAAATTATCACCATCACTTACAAAGCGAAATCTATATACAAATATATTATAAACTTAACTTAGTTTAAAATAACCACTCGCTAATGTTATTGTAAAACCTAACAGTTTTAGCCCTATCAATATCAACAATAAAACAATTTAAATATTGACAATGCATTTGAAGCGTCTAATTTCTTTATCAGCTACATGCCGTCGGGTTTCGGTACATTGGTGTCATAAGCTCTTATAACATCCGTCTGAGATATGATAGCCCCTTCCTCTTGAGAAAAGGCGAAACCATCTATAACAAACAATAGTGAATTTATTTTCGCTATTCATCTGCAAAAATACATGTTCTAAATTATAAAGTACAAAAGTAGTAAAGAAAAGTAATAAATGGTAGAACTGTGGATCAAGAAATAGCAAATATGCAATATACCGTCCCATGTGTTGAAGTGGCACTATTTATTAATTTAGTCAATTGATATTTTCAGAACAAAATATTCGAAAGTTTGCGTAAACGACATATGTATGTGTGAATGTGCATTGTACATTTTTTATGACTTCACAATTTGTACCTATTTGGTAACCGTATGTGACAAAATAATACTTACGAGACAATTCCACGTCTTTTTCAACACGAGATGGCCTCTTGGTGAATACGTTTTTTAAAAGCCTGGCTGTCTCGGACAGTCTGCAACGGTTATTGTTTAACTTTTCAGTTACAATGGGCGACAATATGTTAGACTTTTTGACATAATAGAAAATCCCTATATATACAAATTATTTGAAGACAAAAGCAAATATTACGCAAAAATTTTCCATTTAACTTTGAAAGCAAGCACCAATACATGATCCAAAAAATATTAATTGATTAATCAGAAGGCTCAACATCGCAATTTGTTGTTTTTCGGCAATAAATCTTGTCGATACATATTATTTTTATACATATCATGAGGGGAGCACTTTTCCAACAAATAAATGGCAACTGTACATATTGTGGAAAAATCTTAACATTTAATATTTAATTTCGGAGATGCATGTTATAAAACAAATGTGCTTCTAACATTATATTTGAACACTGAACAACAAATCCAAATAAAAAACAAATAAATTATGTTCTGAAAATATCAATAAGTAAAATTATATAAAAAAAATAAATCACTCAAATGAATTTTAAGACGTGGAAGTGAATAAGTGGAAAATTATAAGGAACGCAAATAATACAAAGCAACAGACAAACTGAAGACAAAGGAAAAGTGCAAAAAATAAACAATAAAAGCAACTAAAACAAGTTCAGTGTTCATCACTTTAAGTCTGTTTTCACCTAATTCAAACCAATTATTACAGCAGTGTAATAATATACATATTTAACTAATATTCACTTTTTGTTTTTACAAAGCATAACACTGAATTATTTGCTTCAACAACAAATCGCCATCCTCAAAACATCATAGCAATGTACATTAGCAAGACCGTTAAAAACGATTTTTATTTAAACAGTATGAAGAATAAAATTAATAATATTATCTCCAATCTACTTTGAAATATCACAGAAGTTAGCAAAAATGCGATAAAAATAAACGATTTTAATACTTTTGAAAGATGCTGTACAAATAAACGAAGCAATTATTTTAACATATGTATTTTAATTTAGACCGGAAAAATATGGACGACATTATTTAGCACACACACTCTACAAAGTTTAGATTTGTTCATTGCGCAATTGCACTGTGTAACACTATTACATGCAGGTGAAATCTTTATTTGCTTGAGCTCCCCTGTCTGAATACCTGTTTTGATACACTTACATTCTTTCGCTGATGCTGATCTTTCCAGCTTGAAAAACATTAAATTCGTTCAGAGATTAATCTCCGGATAGTGAATTTTGAAAAATTCTTTAAAAAATCCATAGTAATGAAAATAAATTTTGCTCGGGATAAATAAAAGTGCATATATTTCAATGTAACAATATTTAAGGAAACGTGGTAATATTTATACTTACGACGACTTGGAATCACCCCTATATACACCTGTATCCCTATGAGTAATTTCATTTTCTCGGACAAAATCAGTCAGTGATTTAAATATTGTACCTTGAACGCTGAAAAATTCAAACATATAATGGTATTGAGAACATTTCTAGGAAAGCTCACATCATCATGGTAAAATCCGGAATAATCGCAATCACTGGAATCAAAAACACTCCTAACCAAAACACAGCCGTCGTGAATAACATAGAATGCATCCCTGTCATTACACTGCCTAGAGGTATTGTTGGCCAGAAAAAACTACGAAATATCATTAAAAATGCTAAACCAGTGAAATGTCTATATCACTTTACCTATAAATTATGATAAATAAGAACCACAGCACAATCGATCCCCAGATCGCACAATGTGTCGGCCACGGCCAATAGCCCGTTATCAACCCTGCTTTCAAACATACTGTTACCACCACATACTGCAAATATTAAAATTAAAACATATTATCACTGTATCGCGGTCATTATTACCGTATAAACGCAATTTCCCAATACAAGATAGTCGCCTACTTTTCCCGTTACCCAAATGACGTCATACTGGCAAGCTAGCATGGGCAGCCAGAATAGAAAAGCAGAATGAATGAGAGAGTTAGCAATCCATATCCAAAAGACACGAATGTTAAAAAGCTCCCCGCTCTGGGAAGGTTTGTACAACTGAGGAAAAGCTAGCATTTTGTTGGCGCTACAACTTTTATCGAATAAACCCATCGCCAGAGGTGGTAGTGCGGTAAAAATGACATTGTATAAACCTAAAAAATGGATTACTCAGCTGTGAATCTTAAAAAATGCTGCAAAAAAAAGAATATAGAATGATATACAACCTCCACCACTCCTTAAATACAAGAAGACGTTTTTCTAGCCTCATGATAAATGTTCTGCAAAAAATGCACGTACCTATAGACCACCTCTCAAATAATATCTGCCCCGACCACCCGGAATAAATAGCAAACCACAACTCAATAACATAAAGGCATATATTCTTGTAAAAGCTGTACAAAATTAACTTGCACATTCTTGAATAATTCCAAGCTCCATGGACTAACAACAATCTAAAAAAAAAGGACGAAGAAATATTGATTGATTGAAGGTCGATGATAAAGTTACCTCAGCAGAAACCTAAACTGAGCTATGCTGTAATCCGAAGCACAAGCGGCTTGTAGTCCTTCCACACCTGAAATCCCAACGCCAACATGGGCTTTTTGAATCATAGCCACATCATTTGCTCCATCGCCTATGGCTAGAGTAACTGATTTGGTGTATTTTGTGACATATTCGACGACTTCGGCCTTTTGCATTGGGGAAACACGACAACAAATGACAACCTATCAGAAAAAATCACTTATTAGACTGAGACTTCACATTTGTAATTCGATATACCCACCTTACAAGAAACACATAATTTTAAAAAATCTGTCCTTAGCTCACAAGATAATGCATATTTTAAAGTGGTTCCATCTATTATCAAAGCTATTTCATTTTGCTTCTCCAAATTATCACCCAGTTCTTCACAATTTAGAAGTATCGCTTCTCTGGCTTTCTACAATAAAATCAACAATGGGTGTACAGCAACAGAATCCAGCGCACCAATCAAATTTAAGCAACTTACATCGAGACTATCCTCATTGAGGGTTATAATTTTCATTCCTTGAGAAATAAGTTTACAGGAATAACCGATATTGATAGCAGTCTCTTGTTTGTCGCCCGTCAGAACCCAAAGATTGATATCTGCTTTCAATAAGATTGCAATAGCCTCGGGCACGCCCTCTTGCAGTTTGTCTTCAATAGCGGTAGCACCAATCAAAATCAGATTTTTTTCCACCAAATTAGCGGCTTCTTCAACCATTTCTATCCAATACAATAATTTTATTTGTTGTCATTGGCACTGACTCAACCCTTATACCTTGTCTATTTTGTAAAGAACAGCTGGCGGTGTTATACACCGTTTTCCATTCTTCATAATCACTTTGCGACAGTTCCACTCTACCACAACACAAAGTTCTCAAACCCTCTGTAGCAAAGGCTTCTAAATGTTGTAAAAGGGTGTCTTTAAGTTCATTATTTGTTCTCTCATTCACGGCCAATCTACAAACGAATTTTGTGATTCCGTTACAATGTTTGTGATGGGCTTCACCTCTGGTAAATGACTGTGTCTGCTCCTTTGCAATATAGTTTAATTTTTCCTCGCGGATCCTTAACAATAACAGACATTCTTTTCCTCGCGGAAGTGAATTCCAACACCGAAAGGATTTCGTATCTGAAATAACACAGAAATAAGCGGATATTAACACAAAAAACATTCCGTATTTACCTTTCCTTCACTCCTAAGGCGTCGATTTCCACATAATCTGGAGTTCGGCTTTCAAAAACGTACCCAAAACCGGCCGCTCCATATACCAACGCCCTTTCATCCGGAGAAGCGGCGTGGTATAAAATTTGTCCATCGCCCATTTTTTCTGGAATCACGGTGTGACACACAGACAAGACCACTAAAAGATCCTTAATTCGATCAGCATTTTTGTGATCCTCTCTCAAGTGCTGAGAATAAAAAACAGGTAATAAAACATACAGTGCGTTCGAGATAAAAATGAAAGGCATTGTGATTGTGATATACTTTTGACATAACATTTTTGCCTTTTTATGTTTGAAAATTACTATTATGAGAAAAGTTTGTAAATATTAACAGACAAGGAGAAAAAAAAATTACATTCTGAGTAAACAAATTGGCATCTATTATCAAGCTGATAATAATATCAATTATTAATATGGATGTATGATACACATACAAATGATAAACATATTTTTAATTGGTTACCATCATAACCAGAACAATAAAATTAAAAATCAATTTATTAAGTATGCAAATGGATAAAAACCGACCTGGATCATAATGTTACTACCAGAGTGATATACATCTATTCCGACAGTACATCTTTTAAATTCCATTACATTTCTTGTTAGGGTACCAGTCTTATCAGAAAAAATATACTTGACCTGACCAAGCTCTTCATTCAGATTGGATGTTCGTGCTATTGCGGGGGTGTCCGTCTCTTCGTGATACATTTCGACATCCATATTTATAAAAATTGCCTACAATATCCAGAAGTGCTTATTTGAATTTCAGATCTAAATAATTGAGTGTACCTGGATAAATCGAACCACTTCCAGTGTCACTTGTAAAGAAATAGGAATCAGATTATTGAAGAGGATCAAAAACGTTAGCAAATTAAATAAAAAATTTTTGCTGCTTTCTAAAATTGTAGGTAGAAAATAGTATATTAAATAACTATGTACCCTCCCAAAAATAACTTGCCTTCCAATCCAATATAACTATGCAATTTCCCATTTGCATTAGTCCACAAGAAATTAAAAATGGAGCATATGAGACACATGATCACCAACAGCCCGAAAAGCCACAGAATTTGTATATTGGTGAGTTTATCTATTGTTGATCGCTTCAGTGGCGCTTTTGTGGAGTTACGCATTAATTTGGTTTCATGACCAGTATAAACGACTAAACCAAATATCCAAGACGTGTTGCGAAGCATTGCTCCTCGCAAAAGAATCTGTTCTGGTCCCAAAGGTTCACATCTATTCCAAAAAGATAAAAATAGTGACACTTGACAAAATAAAAATAGTTGTTATCTTGAATCGAACCCAAGTTCTGCTACGTCGAATTTTTACTTACTGCTTCAAATCTTCTTTTAGAACTCCATTGAATTCATATAAATGCCTATTGGGTGGCTCACACTCTACAGAACCAGAAAAATGTTTTAGTTCTTGAATTGTAGTTAATTTTGCAGTGCTAGGCAATGCCTGACGAATTTTTAAATTGGTTTCCCCGTCTAAATTGGCCGTTTCAATAAAACTCATACCCTGAGGCTCACTGGAACGAATTTAATTGTATGGCATGAGTAAAGGAAAGTGGAACAAAATTAATACGAACCTAGATGATAAGAGAACTAGATCGCCAGGAAAAAAATTATTATTGGAGACTTTTACAATATCTCCTACCACTACATCTTTCCACCTAACATTAGCCCAAAGGTCTTCGCGAAGCACCTCAACGATTCTATGATTGGTTTCATCATCTGCTCGATGCCTTTTCTAGAAATGCAAATTTAAGCCCCTATCATAAGCAATATAGTTGTTCCGCTTACTATATCTTCAATAATTTCCTTAATTGCCGATACGGAAAGAATAAATATCAAAGGTACTAGGGTGGTGTACCTGCCAGTAGGAGATACATCTGGGATTTGCTGAAGAAGGGCGATCATCAGAAAAAATATATTGGCCCATCTCCTGAACTGTTCAAATAGGAACAATGGGAAAAATCTTATGATGCTGTATTTGGCAGTTGAGATCCTATTATTAACAAACTTGGAAGAGGGCGTATGAGGTTTGTTTATAGATATTACTCGATGTTCTGCCCTATCGACTGTGTCCATACTTGCTTCTGTGCCCATGTTTACCACTGAGGGAGCTCTGCTTGCTTCATCTGAAACCGCAGACAAGAAATTCTCAATTTTTTTTATACCCCAACAAAAATGGCTTATTCACACAGGAGTAATTTTGTAGTAATACGTGCATAAGAATGCATTGAACCTTAAAACCCTTTTGTAGGTACAGTGGTGGTATTTCTGCAAATTTTGACCCCGTTTACATCATTATAATATTTTTTATAAGGAATATTTGGTTATTTTACAAAGAAGTATTTTCTTTCGGATTCATATTTTTAAATTTTAAAGATATTTCAAAAGAAAGCTGCAAGTAAGTTGGTAACTTTTATTATTCTATGGAAGCACAGTTTACAAAAATATGACTTATTATTTTGTAGCATAGCCTCGAGCATTCAAAATGGCCTGGCATCTTCTAGGCATAGAATCAACCAATTTTTATTGAATTTCTACAGGTATTTGCGACCAGTGTGATTGATTCAATGATACTAAAAAGTCGAATGCGCCGATCAAAGACACTCCAAAGTTGTTGAAGGGGGTTCAGATCTGGCAATTGGGATGGCCATTCTACAGTTATGTTTTTCTCTCTAAACCATACTTTCACTACTTGGTTGCGTGTTACGGATCATCGTCCTGTTGAAATAGCCATCGCATTGTATTTTACAATATCTCTTCATGTTTAAATCGGTTCATTTTGGTCTGTCCATGAATGATTGGCTCTATCCCAGATCCAGAAAACACCCCCAGACAATTATGGTCCCTCCTCCGTGTTTCACAGTAGAAACTTGGTACTTTGCCTTGGATCTTGCGCCAACTGGTCTTCCTATATATTGTCTACCATTAGATCCAAACAGGTAACATTTGCTTTCATCTCTCTAAAGAACCGTATTATATTTTTCTCTTGACCAAGACGGATGAGCTCTGGAAAACTCCATTCGGGCCTTTCTATTCTTTTTTGCGAGAAGCGATTTTTTACTTGCAATTCTCCCATGAAGACCTCCGTTGAGTAAACTGTTCCGGGTTTTCGTTTTAAATTTATCTGGATGATTTTCGGAGGTCAAGTTTCGAACGGTTTTATCAATCCTGGAAGTAGTTTTAAAAAGTCTTCCCGAATTTGATACATTTTTCACATCACCGTGACTTTCATATTTTGACAAGTAACGGTGACTGGACATGATAAATAACTAATTTTACAAGATATTTCTACTGCGTTAACAATACTGAATAATATTGAACACAAATTAAAAAAGTTTCCATACTTATTTTCAACCACTAATTCCTTATCGCAAAATCAAAATTCCTTTACATTCGTTAAACATGAAGAAAGGAATATCATTGGCATCTCCTTCTGTATAGAAATTTAAAAAGTTTTAAATTACTTCAAATATTAATAATATAAATATTATTAAAAGCGTCCATACTTTTTTCCACCACAGTAGGTACATGCGGTAATGTAACCTATGCAGAGTTATTCACGCAAAACTTTCTGAAGCTTGTGAATTTTCGGAGGAAATTTTTAATACATTTTTTAATATTCTCAGTTAGTTTTGGTTAGTTAGTTTAATTTGTAATTTAGGATAAGTATCGTTTTTTAGAATATCTTAGTTCATTTTCATGCGCCAATAACTGGAAATTATTTATTTTTGTGTAAAAGTGATTTTGAAAATTTCTAGAATAACTAAAACATAAAATTTAAAAAAGAATAGATTATTGTTGATTACTTAAAATAATTTGAAAAATTAGAATGCCCTAACTTTTCCAAATCAAAAACATCATTAAATGAATACAAAAATCCAAAAAAAGATAAAAATGCAAGCGATAATTTCAGGGTCGATTGAAATATCAGTTTCATACCAATGCCGGCGTGCCTTCTCAAAAAAAGTATCATTATTTTAAATTCCCTATTTAATCCAACTATTTTTCAAAAAAATGTAGTTTGCTATCGAAAATCGAGCCTAAATTCTTAAAACTTATGAAGTATGTACCTGCATACGTAATTCGTCAAATAACTGAAAAGAAGTAATTATAACATTGTTCGACACTTCCTGACAAACAGGGAGTCGTAGGTATTTTTTAAAACTAACTATGCTAAATCCAACATCGCAGCTATGTATTTAAGCCACACACGTCATCATTCTGTGTATTTGCTGGGCCATTATAATTTGCGTAAATAGGGATTCTTCTATTTTTTTCGTTTCCATTGTACTGGCAAAAATAAAAAGCGCTCGGGTATTTTTGTTTAAATCATATTTTCAATCTTGAGATGTACTGTCTTTACTCAAACTACATGCTTTGCTATTAGAAAAAATGATAACATTTATCGTTGTGAATATTCCTATATCAAATATTTAATAAAATGACTTCCACTGGCTGAGCGAAACTTTCAAAAATATGACATAATAACTACATAAGTAATACACTAATTACACATAAACTAAGTTTATTAAACGACGTGCATATATATAATTACTTACAAGGACTAACACTCGTAAACAAACGCCTGAAAAGGTTGAACAACTCGCTATAGTGCGTCATTATTAAAACCGGGACCTGTTTACATATTCCTTGGAAGGTTAGATCCACAAACAGGCAACAGACTTCAGGGTGGGTATCAAATAATAACCACAAGATTGATTTTCCGAAATCTTGCGCGCGCAAGTGGCTCGCCGCGAATTAAGCGATTTAATAAAAAAACACTTCTATTGAGAAGTACGCTTTTAATAAATAAAAAAACAGTAAATGAATGAAGTGAAAAATTACCTAGTAGCATCGGATATATGGGCCTAGAATATAATTTATTACCGTGCAAAGGTTACAATGCCAATTAGTTATTTTACTGCTTCCGATATTTTTCTTGTTTCTTTTTAATAAAAAAATAACTTAAATGAAGATAGATCTGACCAAAATTTTACTGCTGTATTGTATAAACAAAATACAAAGTGAACAAATTGTTTTTATTGGTTTATCCCACAAGGGAATGAACCAAAAAACCAAAGCTATAATAAAAAATGAATAGAAGTGCACAATTGAAGTCAAATTTTTACCACAACGAGAAAACATACTATTTACTCCATGACTTTTTATAAAACGGGCAAAGGAAGTCTACAAAAAAAAACAAAAATTTATACGCATACCAATTAAAGAAAATTGGGTGTATCGCACACACCTTTCTTGTCACGAGGACGTCACCCGGGGAAATTCACCTTTTATACTAACGATTCGTGATTCTTTTATCGGGTTTATACTTAAGGGATGACATTTCGTGAAAAGTCAACAATGGATAAAATTAGACTGACCGATCAAATCCCTCGGGATCTTAAAGGGTTGGAATTACGCGAAAAAGCTTTACAGCTGGTCATACTAAATATATTTAAAACAGATATTAACATTAATTTTAAAACGAAAGGCTTAAAAGTAACAAGAATAAAGATTAAGGTCACAAATATTAATTTTACTATTGGTTTTAGTATTTTATCTTATTTAATCATTAATATAACAATTAGCAAATTTTGTAGTAAAATAACTCAAGAACAAAAGAATATTCACAGCGAAAGTTTTTACAATCATTTGTAAAAGTTTGATGTATTCTTTTAGTAAGGTATTTAAAAATCTTTTATTTAAAATAGGAAAATGTATTACCCTAATCCTCCGTAGGTAGGCCAGTACAAGTACTGTAAGTTAAGTACAAATATAATAATGTGCCATATACACTGGGCCATAGGTATTTAAAGTTATGTGGTCTGTAAAATCAGAGAGCAAACGAGGTAAGCATAATGGCTCCAAATAGTGAATTGCATGACTCCTAATATGGACGAAGGTACAATTTGCGTTAAATTCCAGTTTTTTAATGATAATATTATTTTTTTATTACTTTAAATTTGCAAAAAAAGTAAAGTTCATCAAAAGTTGCTGATAGGGTCCTCCTAGAAGTTTTGAGTTTATACAGGGTTTTTTTTTTAATTACGCTTTATTTGGCCACTGCTTCATAAGGCAATTCGGCTAGCACATAAAAAATTTTTTCTACTTAGAAACAAATTTTTAACGATTACAACATCCAAGGCACCCGGTGGGAATCGAACCCAGTTTATACAGGGTTATACACGCTAAATGGCACGAAATATTGTAGCCAAAATAGCCAAAACCTACTACCCAATCAGTATCATAAAAAAAATGATAACATGAAGTTTCAAGACATGTGAAAAATACAACTGTTACACTTGCAGTTTTTAAGGATAGAACCTCTAAAATCTCTACTGTTATAATATTGCCACGAAAAAAACCATTATCTTATTCAAATACGTCTATGTAAATTCTTTCAATTTACTCAAAGCTGCATTCCTGTCCCAAGAATTAGTTTCACGATATTTTAGTTTACTGATATTTTATATCCCTATATCTTCCTAAGCAGAGTAACGACTAGGAAATCGCACATTTAACTACTTACCTGAAATATGTTGGTCTAAATTATTCGCACCATTAACCGTATCATTAGTGTTCATTCCACGCTTTCCTACAAATTTTACAAAATAATTTTTACATTTCACAGATGATTGTCCCGATTTGCTCCCTTAACCTCTTTGAATAATACCACAGAAAAATACTTATAATAACAACACTCCCTTCGACCGTTCAAAGTAAATAGTTTGGTCATGTTTGACTGTACAAAATTGATCGTTCTGCGCATTACGTCAGAGGCTGGCTGATTAATGTGTGTTACGACTAAAGTTATTATTTGTTTTGTTATCAGTTCCTATAATCATATTTTATATTAGTTTATTTTTAAAACATTGACAAACCGTGATTACAATATAGATACTGGTTTCTAAATAAAATGCTGTACAGAATTGGGACATATTTGAAACTTATGATGATTAATTAGATTATTTAAGATTATTAAATTATAAAAACATACAAATTAAGTTTATACATTTACTTGATTCACGAGTAAATAATGGGAAAATTATTTATATTTAAAAATTAATTTATATATATCATAAATGAAACAAATAACATAAAAAAAAAATTAATAAAAATCCCATGGATTCATTACAATGAAATACTTACTATAGTAAATTTTGGTTATTGAAAAATGTAACTTCTACTTTCAATCTCTAATATTTTTGTAAGAAACTTTCTGAAAACTTCTTGAACGTCCGTCTTTAATGTGCAAAAGACAGCGTAAATCACTATTAATTAATATTTTCAGTATGTTTTATGAGCTTCATTTTTGTCACGACTACTAATCCAGCCAGCGAATTTCAACTTTTTAATGTATTTTCAGTGTTAGTAAGATTGGTGTTATTGTTATACTTTTACGAACGTGTTCACATCTCTCCTATTCCCAAATCGAAAAAGAGGTTCCAGCAATAATATTCGGGGTCAAAAAGTTCTTCCAATACCTTTACGGCATCAAGTTCACACTGTACACAGACCATAAACCTCTTAAAAAGGGTTGCCAGTTTTTGCAGCCAGCCGCCTACAAAGATAGGCATACATTCTATCTTCATTCCATTTCGAAATTAAGTATGTCAATACCAAACAAAATTAGATTTCCTATCTCGGTTAGGGGGAAACACTGAAAATATGTTTCACCATTCCAGCAATCTGTTACTATTCGACTCGGGGAAACAAGATCAAATTTCATATTTGAATTACATCGAAAATTCAAAATTCCCAGTTAATTTCAAAAAGATTAAAGAACAAACCTCAAAAGATGTCGTTTTGAGCAAAATTCTATTTTATGTGCGAAACGGTTGGCCACAAACTTGAACCTCTACAGGTTTTAAACCTTATTTTCTTAAAAAACATGAAATTTCTGTAGAACATGGTTGTTTAATGTGGGGTTATCGTCCAATTGTGCCACCAATCTTCTATGACAGTATTTTGGGGGAATTACTGTTAACTCATACCGGAATTGTTAAAATGAAAGCCTTGGCGCGTTCATATGTTTGGTGGCCAAAAATCGACGATTCTATCGAGAAAATCGCGCGTTCATGCAAAACATGCGCACTTTGTTCGAAAAACTCCGCGAAACCTTCTTTAATAATGTGGGATACTCCTACAGAGCCAGAACCATGGACCGGGTTCACGCTGACTTTTTCGGACCATTTTTAAATAAAACATACATTTTTAGTAATTGAAGATGCCACTTCAAAATGGCTAGTATGTTTCATAGTCTCAGACATGTCTTCTGCACAAACCTTAAAAAAAAACGAATGGGTTTGCCGAATCACTCGTCAAAATTGCAAAAAGAGCTTTACGCAAAGGATATGCGGATGGGGTAATCGATTTACAACTTATTCTAGATAGTTTCCTTTTTCAATACCGCAATACACCGCACACTACGACCCAGGAATGTCCAGCAAAAATGCTTTTTGATCGCTTTTTACACACTAGATTTGATTTAATTTTTTCCTTCGACCGAAAATATTGTAAAAAAAAACAATACAACCTAGAACTTAAGCACAAAAAGAAAGGGGAACTGTCATTGTCGATTGGGGAGAAAGTATGTACCCGGGACTAAACTCGGATAAAAGCAGGTGGTGTCAAGGGGTAGTTCGAGATATACTTGGCCGAAGAACTTATGTGGTTGAGTTGGTCAGTTAGAAAAGTATCATTGCAACGACAAGTCTTGCCCCAGCAAGGAAAACTTCATGACAGCCCCAAATAAAAAAAACTCTATGACTCCACGTGCCAACGTAACAAGAAACAGATCAAGTAATACTGTAACTTCAGTTAGGTCTAGCGACAGCGAAACATCCGACTCAGAAAGTGAAGACGTCATCTCACCCAGTGAAAACAACCCCAGCGACAATCGTCCCAGGTGGCCACGGTGCGCGTGTGCTTCGTAGACGTAGTAAGATTAACCCACCAGATCGTTTACTAGTCGCCCAGTAAACGTGACACTCATATCTACATGCAAGTGTACATAAACACCACTAGAGTTAAGTTAGTTTCAGTTTATTATAGGGGGAAGGTGTTCTATATGCGAGTGTTTCATATCGCAGTTTAGTTTAGGTGTTTTTTTGTAAACCGTGATGCGGTACGTTTTCCTAGGACGATCCAGGGGAGTCACTTGCCTAGCCGCGTATTGTACGGAGTCGTCAGTAAACGGTTGCATTGTCGTGGTGGAGTTTAATTTCATGTTAAATGAAACTTAACATCGACCATCTCATATTAAATTTTGATTGCAACCTGCTATACCCCTGTACGCTGAAAAATGTGTCTAATATATCCCAAAAGATTGGAAACCAATTTAATGTATAATTTGTTCCAAAATAAAACAAGCGTTAAAAATTCAGCAATCACGGAACCTACAAATTCATGAATGCTAAGTAAGTATAGTTTGTTTTCAATTTTCAATTTTTTAAACTAAAAATTTAATGTTTGAGTCAAATTAAATTATTTCATTAAACAATTGATCCGTTTCTAAAATACCCCCAAGTTTTTTTGCTGACTTTCGATATCTGCTTAATTAGTTAACTTTAAAAATATTTAAAACTATTCGGATATCTGAAAATGGAAATCTTACAAGTTTTTTTTTAATTTTTTTTAACTTAAAAATCAAAATAGATAGAACAATAAAATATTACGACGGTATTACACTTTCTGTATATTTTTTTTAATGAGTATTAACTAAATGTATGAAAAACTTATGCAATGACATAAAAAAATATTTGTTTGATATAACTTTTGTCTCCTGTATTTTTTTCATAATTCTTACTGTTTTCAAACAAAAAAAAATCTAAAGCAATGAATAGAGTGATAAAAAATTAGATAAAAAAATCTACTGGGCTGCCGTCATTTCTGAAGGCTTTCTTAATATTGCTTAAATATGACTAATTTAATAAAAAAAATCTAATCATTTAATTGTTCCACAATAATTAGAGTTTTAATTAAACGGTGAAATAACCTTTCCTGGGGGGGGGGGGCATCTTAGGTACGGGCGTGAATTAGTTTCAGAAATGTTTATTAATAAATTATTTTTAAATTGTAATTGTTTAGGAGATAATTTGATAAATATTGTTGCAACAACTGTTTGAACCCAACAACCTTTCTAAAATATTTTTTGTTGACATGCAATTTTTTTTTATTTGAAAACTGTAAGTTTTATGAAAAAGTTGAACGAGACAAAGTTTCTTATAAACCCGTTCATCAAAAGTTATTTGTCATTACATAAGTTTGTCTTAAAATTTAGTTAACAATTAGTTAACAAACAAGGTTTGGACAAAATTACTTCATACAGACTAAAAGAGTTACACATCTCAAACGGCGAAGTCTATCTTAAAATCTTGATGTCAGCTACCGAATCTTAACCGAATATTACAATAATAATGAAACAGTAAGCTATAATCATAATAAGAGTCTAAAAATTCATTATTGGTAAAATACTAATTTGTTTAACACAGATACTTTTGTAATTCCAAATGGACCTTACATTTTTTGCTAAATACTAAAACTGAGCTAAATTCAAAATATTTATTATAATCATTAATGGCACTATAGCTAAAGCAGTTATCAATCAGTTTTACATAAATTAGAAATGTGGCCACTACATCTCAATTAATCATCCATTATCACTCCTAAGTTTTTTGCTTCATTTGTAAATTTAAGATCTTCATTTTCCAATTGAATTTTAATATGATCACCCAAAAAATTATAGCTTCCAGGGGGAGAAAATAGTATAATTTGTATTTTTTTTAGAATTTAGCTTAAGATTGTGTTTTTTACTATACTGAGAAAGACTAAGATTAGCTTCAACGTTATCATAATTAGCTGAGTCAAATGTGTGAAACAGCTGGGTGTCATCAGCATTTGAATGAATTTGAGAAAATTTGACTTCCTTAGACATATCAAATGTGCACAGAGGTCCAAGAATTGAACCCTGTGGGAGACCCGAAATAACGTTACCCACATCTGATATACCGATATTAGTTCTAACGAACTGCTGCCTAGTATTTAAATACGACTGCAGAAAAGATACAGATCGATCTGTGAAACCAAAGTAATACTTCCGCAATATTTTATTGGTTTCTAAGATAAAAAATAGTTTGTTTTTGAGCTCACCCCTTGCGTTTTCCGCATTTGTTATGAAACACAAACGAAGGAAGCAATAGCCAATCAAACATAATAGAAATGACCAAGAAGAACGCACGAAATATTAGAACTATTAGATTAACATCCATGTAATAAAGATGCATGCATAACGCAGTAGAACAATGTGCGAAATCAAAAGATAAGTTTTTTTATCTGGGAAGAGGTGGATACAGATCGACAGTTACTTCGCATATTCCTTCGTCGTTCCCGGTTCATCACCCGCTAACAACTATTCAAGCATGGAGTGGAACCGTTTATTCGTTTATTTTGTGACAGAACGGAGGAAGCAGATCGATGATGACATAATTAATTCAGCCCGTCGCAATCCTGCAACTAATGGTGAAAGCAACGTCTAATGCGACAATTCGAACGTAAAAAACGGATTACCTAAATCCCATTTAAACGAAAACCGCAAGATTTGAATTGTTTAAGTGCTCCGGTGTCGCTTTCATATTGTTCCCCTAAGCGACCAGTTTTAATTCTGCACGCCTATTAATCTAAATATTTTGTAAAATCCAATTATCGCCATTAAAATAACCGCGGCCGTTATATATATTGTTGAATGGGAATATTTAAAACATTTGCTTGCTCGCAGTCCGAATTTATAAATGTCATATTTGTATAAATGAGCGTGATCAGTGCGAGAAACGGCCAATGGCTGTTTCTGTTAAGTTTTTCCATTGTGGTCAACGGGCGGTCTCTACTCGCACCACTCGATTTCGATGTAGATCTGGTAGCGTCTGCGGCAGAACCCAGGCCTATTTTCGTGGAAAACGTGGCTAATCCTCCAGGAATACCTTTGCCCTTGGTCTACAGCGTTAACGGCGACGCTTCTAGTCCGGAGAGCGTAGCCAGTGAAAAAGTGGAAAAAGTCCTCAAACCAGCGCTAGCGTTCTCATACACCAACGAAAAGACTGACGAAGCGGTTGATCAAAACTACGATGGATTTACCCCGGTGGTTCACCAAAGAGGTCAGCCTTCTGACAGTAGCGGTGAGCAATCTGCTCACGGTGTTAGAAACGTGAGACATAATAACGAGCACGGGAATAAACATCAGGACGCGGGTGGTGATTTTGAAAAGGGCGGCGGCAAAGATTTCCACTCTGACCATAAAGGAGAGTTTGGCGAGGAAGGACATAAAGAGTACGACGGTCATCACCATCACAAGAAATCGGAAAAAGGACACCACGACAAAGCGGACGACGAAAAAAATTACGGGGAACACGGAGGCCACAAAAAAGGACACAAGCATCACGATGGGTATTTCGGGGAGCATCATAAAGAGGAAGGCGGTCACAAGGGATCAGAGGTATTTATTTATTTCTTTATTTCTTTACTCTGCATAATGTACAGGGTGGGCACATTATATACCAGCCTATACCCTTTCTCGGGAACTACTGATTTTAGAAAAAAAGTTTATACAAAAGTTTTATTGGTTAAATTAAATTGTAAAATTATTTATTTTTTATATATTTACAAGGTGTCCGATAAGTGCTGGACCGCCATTTGTTTTTAGAATCGTTGCCAAAAATAAAGGTAATTTTTATATAAACTACTTTATCGAATTTTGGATAGTTTAGGCAGAAATTGAGATTAAATATTTTTTTATGCAAAATTATGTTCTTAGTAGATATTTTAAACACATTTTTAGAAGACTTCCTTCTAACGATCTGCGATGACTAGGTATTTTAAGATTATACAGGATATTTTTTTAAAATTTCAACTTGCAGTTTCCATTTTTTTCATAGCAACGCCCATGTTTTTGATATTTTTTCTCCAAGCGGGTCAAAATATCTATAATTTGGTACATATATGTCCTGTATCTAAGTCTAATAGTTTTCGAAATACTGACACCTAATTATTTTAAAGAATTTTAAAAAAGCGTATAATTCTTATTTTTTAATTAATTTTAAGGATTTTTGCAATGGATGATCGGCCTTTTTTGTAGGTAAGGCAATACACAGATTTATAGATTTAGGAAATTAAAACGTCATCATTTTTTATATCGTTAACGATGTTAAATAATATCTATAATTACGATAGAAGATTAAAATTTTAAAACAAGTAACAGTAACAAGTAAAAGGAACTACGGTAAAACAAAATAGAAAATCTACAGTAGGTTTTCAACAGGTTGTATAAACAACCTCTATATGGTTTAGAGCATTAGAAACAAAGTCGATGTTATTTAGTTGAACTACAGGTTCTCTAATAGTTCATTTGCCGTAGTGCATCTTTCTTTATATACCATATCTTTAATTGTACCCCTAAAAAAAGCCCAGTGGGGTAAGATCTGGACTTCGAGGTGGCCACCAGATGTTTCCATTTTGTCCTATCCAAAGATTTTCATTTAAAAATTCAGCGATATCGTTTTCCCGGTGGTACGGAGCGCCATCTTGCTGCCATATTAATTGAGCACGTTCACAAGCCGGTATTTTATTTACTATTAATCGTTGTATTTCATTTCTGAGCATATTAAAATATCGTCTAGAGTTTAAGTTTTCATTTAAGAAAATTGGCCCTATAACCTTTGATCGGTATATTCCGCACCACAGTTTCACAGATCGTGTACCTTGTCGTTTTACTTCCAACGTCCTTTTCTTATTTTCATCACTCCAGTAATGTGTGTTTTTCCAAATAAAAATTTGGGAATTTTTTACTATTAATGAAAACTTTATTTAAATATGCGAAATCCTATTAAATTGTTCCATAATATAAAATTATTTAAAATATTGGTGTCAGTATTTTTCGTCAGCGAGTTTATTTTTAAAAATTTGGAAAACGATTAGATATAGGTATAGGACATATACCTACTATATACCGAACTATAGGTAACACACAATAACGCGTTTTACCACAAACCGAAACTCAATTTTACCTACTCGACGCGCGTTTCGCCAACCAAGTTGGCATCTTCAGGAGAAGATTAAAACTGGTAAAATTGAGTTTTGGTTTGTGGTAAAACGCATTATTGTGTGTTAGTACAGCGTCGAAGGTTCCAGTCAAGAGTTTGATAACGAATTATAGGTATTTTGACCCGCTTTGAGAAAAAATATCAACAACATGGGCGTCTCATTAAAAGAAAAAAAATACTACAAGTTGAAATTTTAAAAAAATGTCCTTTGATTTAAGACACTCTGTAAAATTTTAAAATAATTACTGCCAGCCGTGCAAGATCATATATAATAAATAATCTTAATTTCTGTCTAAACTACGCAAAATTCGAATAAGTAGTTTCTATAAAAGTTACCTTTATTTTTGGCAAGGATTCAAAAAATATAAAAATATATAGGGTGTTCCATTTTTAAACTAATGTATGTATATATAAAAAATAAATAATTTTGAAGTTTAATTTAAACTATAAAAGTTTTGTATAAACATGAGAAAAGCTACAGGCCCCTAATAAAGTGCAAACCCTGTACAAACATTATACACAGAGTATATATAAATATTCTATTACTTCGTAGATATTAATTAGATAAAGGTTTATGCGAAAATTTAGTAAACTAATTAACCAAACGAGTTTAATGATGAGCGTATAGACCTACTTTCGCGAAAGTCAATTTCGTCGGTTTCTTGAAAGTAACAAAAAAAGAAAAATTACAGGAAATCAAAGTATGATTAATTTTTATGGGTATGCTACTGGAGAGGACATATTCTTACCACGACCACATGATTAACTGTAAATAGAATTATAGAAAAACATTAATCGCTAGTTTTTTAAGACTTATGTGAAATATGTGACGAAAGTAATGATTCTACTTCTTTTGCATGTGAGTCACTAGGGGAGTTTACTGAGGAATTGGTGTTATAAAAGTCACAATAAAATAAATTTCAGTTTCTTAACAATATATATTTTTTTATTAGAGAATAGTGTATGTATAAATAGAACTTATAAAACCAATTTTCTGTAGCTCAGTTTTATTAATTGAAGACGCCCAAGTTTTACTTCATAGTGAGACTAATTGAGCTTTGGATGGAATTAGAGCACAAGATAAAGTAGATATAACGTTTTTTGAATGCTTTTTAATCTGTTAATCTCATGTAGCTAATAGTCATTCAGAGTCCCCCATGTCCTTATAGTACAGGGACAAATTTTGAGAAGTTCCATTCAACATGCGCATGCGCAAGATTTACAATCTCATTTTTAACCAATGACCTTACGGTATTCGACAACCAATATAGCCACTGCCAGACCGTCAAAAAGTTGTCAAAATGTTATGGAAAGACGAGTTAATGGTGTCATATAAAGAATCACAGATTTACGATTGCTGAAATTTACCTCGAGTTCCCTGACTTAATACCTCTGTAACCAAAATTATTTTAGAGCCTAGAAAAGGTTATTTTAAAGGACTTCTTTAATTTGTTTCTTTCACAACATTCAATAAAACTTTTAAAGACTGATTGCAGTTCCCATACTTAATCACAATAATCACTTGGAAACAATGTTCTTCTCTGGAATTCACAAAGTGTTTTTGGAAATTTTTATACACTGGCAAAATTGTAATCAGGAGTCGATCCTTAATGATGAGTTGAAGTTCTTTAAATTATAAAACTATAAATTATGGGGAAATAATAATTATTATGCTTCACAATGTGAGCCAGATATAGTGATTATACCGAGTGCCTAGTATAAAATCATGTACATACTGTAAGAGAGACAGCGTCGCTTAAATGGAAAGAAAGTAGCCCAAAAATAATCTAATTTTGTTTTATTTTCAATCGATACCCGTACGTAGATACAGAATGAAAAAGGAAAACAACCATTTTTTAAAAACAATGTTTTCCTTATTATAGAAACTGAAATATAAAAATTTTCAGGATATGGGTAAAAGGATACGGCGACGCAAAAAACGGCTTTAAAAAAATTAGGCCTACTATGTTACGTACGGCCGAAGCCAAAATCCTATTTAAAAATACTTTTCAACCATGTGTAACATTTATGTTTGGTCAAGATAAATACCGAAATACAACAAAAATAAGATTTCAGGATAGTAGGTTTGGTATTCTTATTCAATTTTAAAACACATTTAAATAACGAGTGGACTAGAAAGGAGTCAATAAAATTGAAGAGAGGATCGAGAAAAGAAGTTCTTGTTCCTTTGGCCTTACGCAACATAATAGGCCTATTTTTTTACCCATTTTTAACATCGCCTTATTCTTCTACCTATATCCTGAAAATTTGAACATTTCAGCTAGATTATTTTTTTTGGCATATGCATACGCTGCTTTGTTTTCATTTAAGCGACGCTGTATTTCGAACAGTTTCTGGACACGCTACATATGCGTACTTACATTAAGCAAAAGCAAATTAAAATTGTCATACAAATTATTACACCCATCATAAAACTGATAACTAATTTCGACACTGGTGCTGCGCACTGCTTCTCCTTCCATGGCGGTTAGGTGGAAAGGTATCACAGTGACCTTGACCTTGACCACAAGGATGTTCCTGAACCTTTCATTTTTATTTCTATTTTGTGTTCTCGTTTTGCATTAAAATATTCGTACATCATATTTTTTCATTTTTGTTATGTTACTGTTTTCTTGTCACAAATATACATCTAGTTTTGGTAGATAATATATAATAGAAATATTTTTTAGTTATATTAATTATTAAAAAAAATATGTTTATAGTTAAAATAAACAGAAGGTGACGTTATAAATTTAAATTATTATCTTATAATTTTTTTATAATTTTTATTTCGTTGCTCTGTTTTTTAAACATTTGGAATAATAGGTAAGCGTAATTCGACTGCTTGTCAGCAATTTAAAGTTGAAGCAATTGATAATATCGTATTTAGAAAAACAAAATTGTTTATAAAGTGACAAATACCAAAATAACAATTTCGCAGCATATCTAATGTATATCATGTTTTTCTTTAAATCGGAGATCCCTATGTCCTCCAAGATTTTGTCAGTAATTCAGAGCAAAAGTTATATATATTTTTTTATATCTATTTCTAAATATCCTAAGTGCTCGAAAAACGCACACACCGAAACAAAGTTGTGTCGCCATTACTATATTTCGTATCGCTCTGTTTAGTATTTTGTACGACTGCAAAATTATGAAAATTGGGTTGCAGTATTGTGGTTAGCCGCAACATTTTCTGGTTAATTATTCTTATTTAGTTCGATAAAAGATGTAAGTATCTAATCGTATCCAATAACTGCTTGCATGGTTTAGTATAAACATTAGCTCTACAATATTTGTATTTATTTTTGTATATTATTCTCATTTTATTGACTAAAATAAGCCGAACCAATCTTGCAGCTTTTTAGTAAAAAATTCCGTCCATTCCGATAGTAATAAATAACACGGTTTGCAGTATGGCGAACACGGAGAACATAATAAAGGCCACAGTACCAAAGGTTCTCACAGCATCCGCAAGAAAGACGAGTTCGACAAGAAAACCGAATTCTTTGAAGAGGACGATGAGAGCGGCGAGTTTGAAAAACACGGAGGCTACCATCACGAAGACAGCTACAAGAAGGTTTGCACTCCTCCTTTTTGCAAATTACGTAGAATATAGTTCAATTCGTTTTCAGGGCGGGTACAAAAAAGGCGACTTCGATAAAGGAGGCAGTCACAAGGATCATTACGGCAAAGAATCGGATCATCAAAAGGGCACATATCACAAAGAAGAGCAGGGACATGATGAAGAAGCTGGACACGATATTCACCAATCTCACCATACTAAGCACGGTGAAGAAGATGGCGAAAAAACTGGGAAAAAATGGGCATACAGCGAAGGTCATGGCACAGGTGGCGATGGTGGTGGCGGCGGTGGGAAAAAAAAACATGGGGACGATCACGGAGGCAAAGGAAGTCATAGTCACGTAGCCTACCAAGTTCACGAATTACCACCTAAACAAGAAGATGCGAAGACAGTTAATTCGGAATTGAAGCCCATTAGCGTTGTCCTAGAACGCCAGTCTAAAGAAGATGAAATTCAACAATCGACAAATAACGCATTAAACCAGCCTGTAAACATTTTTAGTGTTGAACGGCAGGCGGTGCAGAATAATATTGAAGCTCCCAAAGCGATTAACACTTTGTTGGGAGAAGAAATTATTACAAAGTATTATCCAGCTAATGTTGAGCATCTCCATCATGAGGAGAAAGTGCTTCAAGCCCCTAACGCCTTGAACGAACACGCTAATTTAAAATATTATCCAATTAGCATCGATGCGATAGTCCCACAAGCGACTAAAACGTTAAGACATTCCACCTATTCAACTCCTAGTGAAAATTTACTGTATTCAGGTAGAGATAACCAATACAATAAACCTACAAACAGCTTTCAGTCCAATGACAATGTGGCGACAGAACCTCCAGAATTGTATCCAATTAGAGTTGAGAATATCGAACAAACACAACTTCAAAATGAAGAAGTGACTAAAACTATTCAATCCAGAAATGAAGATACTTCAGATGGTGGTAGAGAATCACAGGAAAGCGCGAAATTTAGTAGACCAATAATAGCACATAATCACATACAATTGATTAATCAGGAAAGTGAAGCTAAAGAAATTCACACCCCTCTTGCCCCCCCTGTCAATCCACAAGCATTCATTGCGGTCTATAACACTGAAGAGAAACCAAGTGATAGAATCAAAAAAAAGAAAAAGAAACATAGAGCCAAAAAACGAGCGAAATCAAAAGGGCCTAAAGCCAAATCTGGATGTCCAAAACATGCGCACCATGACAATCATCAGGCAGAGGAAAGCCAACACTTTTTGATTGTGGTACCAGACGATAGTGTGTAGTTAGAATAGATAGCCTAAATTTTGCAATTAAAGTTTTGTATCCAAATCATTACGTAATATACCACTCCAATAATTATACGAATTTTTATTAGTAAAGTATTTTAGATAATTGAATGATTTAATTTAAATTCCTGGCTTTCCGACTCCACTCGAATATTAGTGCCTGTGAAGTGAGGTAGAATTTATTACTACGTCACAAAAAAAGTGATTTAAGTAATATATTCTATATTTCATTTACAATAAAGCGCACCGTTTTCAAAACACAATTAAGGAATAAAAATATCCCTTGCAAACGATCAATTTAAAGGACAAATAATTTTTGTTATGACGTCATCATTAGACTTAACCTAATGGTCGCTTCAGCTCTAAACTAATCTTCGATCTTAACTACCGTCACTTTGCCCTGCTAGTGTCACTTTTTCCTACGTCAATTTAACTTGTCAGATGGTTGTCAGTATTGTGTTTTTCAATTTGGCACAGAAATGCAATGTTACAATTCGTTCTTGCTATGATGAATTATCAAAACAACTTTTTTGTTATTTATCTTAAATGTAGCAGTATACGATTTACGTCAAAGTGCTTAAATCGTTGTTAATAATAATACACAATGGCGGACTTAACAAAACCGCCCCTAAGTGACATCAAACGCCCCGAAGATGTGGTGAAAATGTCTATGAATGATAGCTTGAAATTTGCAGTTCTAATTGGATTTATAGAAGTCGGGCAAGTTTCGAACAAAGAAGTTGTAAATACAGTTTTGCAGTTGGTAAGTCAAAAGAATATTTTTGTTTCATTTCTATTAGGAGAGATTTTTAGTTATTATTTTAACTTCTTCAATTTATCAGATATCAAGTTTATAATTATGTTTACAAATAATGCACTGCTGCTTTTTATACATGTAAAATACTAGGAAGCACTACAACTAATTATAATCTTGGGGTTTAAGATAACATGAGCATTCTAAGCATAGAAATCAAATAAATGTCTATTTTATTGTTTCAGTTGGTGGGTGGTGAATTTGATATGGAATTAAACTTCATTATCCAAGATGTACAGAATATCCGGCATATGCTGGAACTCTTGGATCATTGTCCTACAAATCTACAGGTAAATTTTTTAAATAGTTTTGCTTAACCTATAGTATTTCCTTTTAGGCTGAAATATGGAGTGTATTTATTGCAATTCTCAAGAAAAGCGTTAGAAATCTCCAAGCATGCACTGATATAAGACTTATAGAGCATGTTTTGAAAAGGCTAAGGAATGCAGATCCTATAGTGGCAGGTAAACTGATTAACAAAAGTATTCTTCATGATGTTTTAATTTTTAATAAGGATTAACTAACCAACTTTTATTAATTTATAACTTCACAAATTATTATTTTTGGTATTGTAGTTCAACATTTGTTAGCTTTGTCACAAGAAAAGAACTTTCCATTTTTTAGATTTACTTATTGAGATGTTAGGTGTGTTAGCAAGTTATAGTATAACAGTAAAGGAACTAAAGTTGCTGTTTGGAGCTATGAAAGTGGTTAATGGAAAGTGGGTAAGAATATTTATTTCTGTTTATTGCTTCTTCATTCCTAATTGCACTAATTTTACTTAAAACCTCTTGATTGATTGAAACATTCAAATTCAAATATTAGAATTTTATTTCTAGCCCAGGCATTCAGCCAAACTACTAAATGTTTTACGACAAATGCCACAAAGAACAGGACCAGATGTATTTTTTAGTTTTCCTGGACGAAAAGGATCAGTAAGTGCTTAAAGTATTTATACTGTCCACTTTTCTCATGAGTTATATTTTAGGCTATAGTATTACCGCCACTATCAAAGTGGCCTTATGAGAATGGTTTTACTTTTACAACTTGGTTTAGGTTAGATCCTATTAATTCAGTTAACATTGAAAGGGAAAAGCCATATTTGTATTGGTAAGTAAGAATTTTTTTCTAAAAGAGACATCACATGAATTATGTTCTGTTATTTTAGCTTTAAGACGAGCAAGGGTGTGGGATACACCGCTCACTTTGTTGGCAATTGTTTAGTATTAACATCAATGAAAATCAAAGGGAAAGGTTTTCAGCATTGTGTTAAATATGAATTTCAACCAAGAAAGGTATGTTATTTTCAACTGTCAACTTCACTTGTGCTTGGTTTGTTCACAAGGTTCACAAAAAACACCTTTAAAATAATGTTTTCTTCTAATTGAGGTGAAGCTAATTATTTTTTTCCATAGTGGTACATGTTGGCTGTAGTTTATATTTACAACAGATGGACAAAAAGTGAAATCAAATGTCTTGTTAATGGTCAATTAGCTTCCAGTACTGAAATGGCATGGTTTGTTTCAACAAATGAAGTAAGTTGTATTGAGAGGCAATGATAACAAACGGTAAAAATAATTTGTTTTAGCCTTTTGATAAGTGTTATATAGGGGCCACACCCGAATTAGATGAGGAAAGAGTGTTCTGTGGTCAAATGTCCGCAATCTATCTATTCAATGAGGCTCTTACAACACATCAGATTTGTGCAATGCATCGATTGGGTCCAGGATATAAGGTAAAAAGTAGCTTTTTATGAACTGATTGATAATCAAAATCTTTTTGATGTAGAGCCAATTTCGATTTGACAACGAATGCAACATAAATTTACCAGACAATCATAAAAGGGTGAGTGGAAGTGACAAAACACAAAGCATGATTTTGACTGCTGCAGATGCACGCATAGTAAGCATTTTTTATTTTATTTTATTATTTATTTTGCTATTCCATTATAATGAATTGGTATGTATTTTGCAAATTACTCTCCGTTAATGTGTTTTTATTTTCTTTTACCTAATTCATTTTCACTGGCGAGAATCACATTTAGTTAAATAAAATTCATTATTATTATCAATTATTTTTAGTTATTAATTTATTTAGCTAAATAAGTTCCTTAATATTAACTTTACTAATTCATTAAGATACTCTGTCACAGGTTAATAACATTAATAGTATATACCAACTTTAACGTTTTCAAAAAGCGCTGCAACTGTTAAATTTTTAAATATCTTTCTCTAATAGGACATTTTTTGTGCAGTTATGCACTCTATATTTAAGCACTGTATCTCTCAATATAGGATTCGCACATGAAAACATTTCATAAAAGGGACTCGAGAAAGAATAGCGAAGGTTCTGTCCAGTGTCAAGTAATTTAGTTCGCAGATCTGCCTGCATTTAGATCAATAGTGTTTTAGTCGTTTACAGCAAATAATTGTGTATGAGCTGCACTTCATAATTGAATTATGTACTGGTTCCAAATTTTTACCTTTTATTTTTTTTTGTCGTCTTTTTTGAATATTAGTTTTTATATAACATATGTTTAGTAATGTTCATTTTAAACTGTTGACCTAAGTGCACAGTTATAGATACCAACATTTTCATTTATTATAACAATAATAATAATAATAATAATAATAATAATAATAATAATAATAATAATAATTATTATTATTATTATTATTATTATTATTATTATTATTATAATAATAATAATAATATTAATAATAATAATAATAATAATAATTATTATTATTATTATTATTATTACTATTAAACAATACTACTCGCGGACTTCATAAAGTTCTTTTGTAAACCAAAATTTTGGCACATTTCTCATCAATTGCATGTTCATTGACAGATGAAGTCGGTTGCTATGTTTATTAGAGCAAGAAATATTTTTACATATTATAAAATTTCAAGTAGTAAGAATACGTAAGTTCTGCATCGACCGTCCCCCGGGGACATATTGAGATATCCAAATTACAGATTCCTAATTAGGCAAAGAATTTACAGATTTCTAACGAAGAAATGGGATTTAGTTTTACCCTTTATCTACAGGTGGCAGCACATCATATAGATTCCTAATCAATGAAGTTTCGTCACACCCACAGATTGCAGCACAGGTCAAAGAATTGCTATTCATACTATTTACACAACTTCTTGATGGGTTGTTGATAAATCGAACTTGTTGACATTTCACCAATCATGCTGTTGACTTCTTCGGAGATTATCTGAAACTGATTTGCATTCTACTCTGTATGTGCTTATATGCTGTTTGAGGGGGCGGAGCTAAATGAGGGACATCATAAAAATTGATCGGACGACCAATTCCCATATTCCTCTTCCTCCTCCTATGTGCCTTCTCTTGCGCGGTTGGCGACCAGTATAGCAGTCTCCCCTATTGTGGGCTTTATGAAGTGGTGTGTTACCATTGGTGTGTATTCAGTCTCTAATGTTTCTGAGCCACGATTTCTTCTTTCTGCCTCTTACCCTAAATTTTACCGTCCAGGATTAACTGCAATTGTTCGTACTGTTCATGGCGCATTATGTGTCCAAGTAGGAAGTTTTTCTAACTCTAATGAGACTAGTTGCAACCGGACGGGTGTTCACTCTTGTTAGAACATCTTCATTGGTTGTCTTAGAGGCCCAGCTAATTTGAAGTATTCTTCTGCACATCGAAAGTTCAAATGCGTTAAGTTTTTTCGCGTCTTCTTGTTTTAATGTCCATGTTTCGCATGCGTACAGAAGCAAGGACCATATGTAGCATCTCATTGTTTTCAATCAAACTGGTGGGGACAGCTTGAGGTGGCATAGTAAGTTGAGCATGTTCATGTTGACTGGTGTAGATGGCTATTCATTTCTCTGCCCAGATATATGTCGCTCTTAACTTTTTGAAGAATTTAACCGTTGAGAGTAATCTGCGTATTGACATTATCTTTGGTGTTCCCAAATCCATTGTTTTTGTTTTTGCGGTGTTTATCTCTAAACCCCATTTAACACTATCTTTGGTCAGTGTGTTCATCAATATTTGTAGGTGTTTTTCCGATTCGGCCATAATGACAGTGTCGTCGGCGTACCTAATGTTTTTAACGATTCTGTCGTTAACCTTAGCGCCCTCTAGTCCGTCTTGCAGGGATGATGTAATGATTTATTCTGCATGTATGTTAAACAACAAAGGAAATAAAAAACAGCCTTGCTGAACTCCTCTCTCTATATTGATGTAGTTGGTGTTACTCATTTCCAGTCGAACACAACCTTATAAATATTCTAGATGATTATAGTATCCCGTTTGTCCAACTCGATCTCATGTAAAGTGTTCATTAGTTTTTGGTGTTTAATTCGGTCAAATGCCTTCTTATACAAAACATACATTCCCATATTGGTGAAAAGTAACGATCTGGGTCGCGGTTAAAATTTTTTGGTTTAGACATTTTCTTTGGTTGAAGAACTAAATACATGCAAGATTTTTGGACAATTGGTAAATCTGGTTTCAATGTGATAAGAACTTTTGATATGTGGTCAGTGATGCGTTGATTGCAAGAAAGGACTCATTTTCTTTGGGAGGTTGTGGTAAATTTGTATATTGTGAGGGTTGATAAATGATGATTTTTGGACCGGTTCATGATGTTACAATGCATTAAGGTATCGGTCTCTGTGCAATATGTGCTTCCGGTATATAGGCAGGTCCAAGTCAGTTTGAGTTAAACTCTGAAGAAGCCAACAGGATGATTGGCGAAACGTCAGCAAGTTCAATTCATCAACAACTCAACAACCGACGTAAAGGGAATCCAGAAGTTTGGTAAATAGTATTACAGTAGCCTGTGAAAGTTTCTTTGAAAGATGAATTCGTTTTTATTTTCATTACTCATCTACAGATGGCAACACAGATTAGATTTTAGAGTAGATGGCCACGTGTATACAGAGTGTCTTAAAAATTAAGGATATAGGGGGAGCCCAGGATTGTAGGATTTGAAGCGCACAGTACTAATCAAGAATTAGATTTCATATTTGAGCATTTTTTGAAAATTTTTTGTCGTGTCAAGTAAAGACACGAACGGTGTATGAAGATGAGTGGAGAGACTAAATCAGAATTATTTGGTTAGCATTCTGTCATTTCTTTGGTTATTTACGAATCTATAAATTGACGGACATTATAGAACTTGGGTATCTCTACTACTTGGGTGAATCAAAATTGACAAATTGACAAAAAATGATTTTTTATCCATTCTCTAGCTATGGCAAGGAAACTGAAAAGTGTAATTTTCTTTTTCATTTGAAACATCTTATAATCTGTTTGTTTTTTTCTAACTTTACGGATTCCGAATCTCCCATGATTTCAGAAACTAGAAAATACATTTGGTAAGTTTTTCATCATCCTGTTATTTTCAGGTTCTCTATGATGGTAAATTATCAAACGCGATTGTTTTCATGTACAATCCTGTTGCTACAGACACTCAACTATGCTTGCAATCAGCGCCCAAGGGGAATGTATCTTATTTCGTTCACACGCCACATGCGCTCATGCTGCAAGTAAGTTTTATAAGGTAAAAGATATTCATATTAAATCATAATTCAATTGTAGGATGTGAAAGCTGTGATAACACATTCCATCCACAGTACTTTAAATTCCATTGGCGGAATACAGGTTCTGTTCCCTTTGTTTTCACAATTGGACTTGCCTTATGAACACAATGGTGCTTCAGACACCAAAAAGGACACTTTATGGTAAATCACCCTTTTCAGTCTCTTTTTTCATATAAAAGTTATTTTTGGTAATGCAGTTCAAAATTATTGGGATTCATATGTGAATTGGTGGAAAATTCACATACCGTGCAACAACATATGATACAAAATCGAGGATTTTTGGTGATAAGCTTCATGTTACAGAGGTCGTCTAGGGATCATTTGACGATTGACGTTCTTGCTTCGTTTTTAGGGCTAACCAAATGTCTAATTACTTCTCTAAGTGCCAATAGCGAATTACTGCTGAAACAGGTACATTTTATTTAAATACATTTATATCATAGCGATTTAATGATATAATAGGTAGGCCAAATTTTGTGGCAGAGACGAAAATCAATTATTTATTGATTAGAATAGGTACAAGAACTGTATAAATTATTTTGATTTAGTTATTTTGTTTTTCGTTTTTGACCTGGCAGCTACTGGACCACATATTGTTCAACCCAGCTCTATGGATCTATACTGCTGCTTCAGTTCAGTTGAAATTGTATTCTTATTTGGCTACTGAATTTCTCTCAGACACCCAAATATACTCGAACGTTCGACGGGTCTCGACTGTCTTGCAGACCGTCCACACCCTGAAGTATTACTATTGGGTGGTCAATCCCAGGCCCAAGAGTGGGATTTCCCCTAAAGGAATTGGTGAGTAGAATTGAGTTTAAATCTAACTCAGCAAGTACTTCTATTATTTTTGAACAACATTATTTTGCTTTCAGATGGATTGAGGCCTGTTCAAAAAGACATTATTGCTATTAGGGCGTACATATTGCTCTTTCTGAAACAACTTATCATGATTGGCAATGGAGTGAAAGACGACGAACTGCAAAGCATTTTAAATTATCTCACAACAATCCACGAAGATGAGAATTTGCATGACATCTTGCAGATGTTGATATCATTGATGTCAGAACATCCATCCTCCATGGTACCAGCTTTTGATTCCAAGCAAGGGATTAGAACAATATTCAAACTACTTGCTTCTGATGGTCAGCTCATTAGGTTGCAAGCATTGAAGCTATTAGGGTTTTTCCTGAGTAGAAGTACACATAAAAGGAAGTATGACGTTATGAGTCCTTTTAATTTGTACACTTCCTTGGCTGATAGGCTATTGCTGAATGAGGAATCACTTTCTTTGCCCACTTACAATGTGTTGTATGAAATTATGACTGAACATATTAGTCAGCAGATTTTATACACAAGACATCCAGAGCCAGAGTCTCATTTTCGATTGGAAAACCCAAGTGAGTAAAAGTAAAATATATATTTGGTTTTGTAGAAAAGTGACGCCCAAATTTCTGTTTAGTGGTTTTAAAGGTAGTAGCTACACTAATCCGACAATCAAAGCAAACTGAACAGCTGCTGGAAGTAAAAAAGCTTTTTCTTTCTGATATGACTTTGTTGTGCAACAACAACCGCGAAAACAGGAGAACGGTATTGCAAATGTCTGTGTGGCAGGAGTGGCTCATCGCGATGGCTTATATCCATCCCCAAAACACCGACGAACAAAAGCTGTCTGACATGGTTTACTCCCTGTTTAGGATGTTGCTTCATCATGCTATTAAATACGAATATGGAGGTTGGAGGGTCTGGGTGGATACATTGGCCATTGTTCATTCTAAGGTTGGTTGCCTAACATAAAATATATAGAATCTTATCATATATACATATCCTTAAAATTCTACATTTCTTCTTGTTCCGGTATAACATAATTTTGAGTTAATTGATTAAAACTCTAAGTTTGTAAACAGGCAGTTCATTAAAACTTTACATTTTCTAGGTTTCTTATGAAGAATTTAAGCTACAGTTTTCACAAATGTATGAAAACTATGAGAAGCACAGGTCAGATCACATAACCGATCCCGCAGTTAGGCAGCAGCGCCCAATCAGCACAATATCAGGTTGGCATGAAGACTCACCAAAAGCTCACAATGGCCGTCATACAGAGGAAGAGGACTGGAACAATTCGGGATCTATAGTCCACGAAATGAACGAAAACGACAAATCTGAACAAGTTTGTAGCTGTGACTACAACTCAACTCTGTCTGAAGGCAGTCCAGTCTCATACTTAACCAAAAACGACGATAGTGAACGTGTGTCTTTGGATTCTAGAAGTAGTGACCTCTATAGTGAACACAAAATTGGTAAAGGATCACAGTTTTCAGAAGATTCACCTATGAAGTGTCAAAACTTAGATAATGTTCCAGTGGATTCTCCGGTCTGTAATGGAGTCCACACCGGCAGTAGTACTAGCTTTGGCAGCCCGGTTAAAGTTGACTATCAAGAACATTATCCAACTGCTCAAATAGTAGGGGAGATTTTAGAAGAAATACTTAATAATTCTGAAAAACTCCTCACTAATTCTCTAGAAATTACTCTTGTTCACAAAAGTGAAGAAGCAATTGTTATCACAGATATAGGTCCAGCAGATGATATTGTTGTTAAAGATGAAAAGGTCCCGGAAAAAGATGAACGGGAAGTTTTTGACAGTGAATCTGAGAGATATTTAACTCCAACGGAAGAAATTGTCGACAAAAAAGAAAGCGATGTTGAAAAATCCGAAAATAACGTTCCTAGTGACTCTACAAACGATTTAAACGCGAGCGGTAATAGCTTAATAAACAGTATTAATCTAGGGCAAAATCAGGGTGCCATTAGTGATAATAAACAAAACGTTAGTTCTAGTGCGAGCGCAATTGAAAATTCCGAAGCTGTGCCAATTTTCGAAAATAGTGCTGTGTCTGTAGAAATAGAGCCGTCCATTCCGAGTGTAAATAACGTTGACGTTCCGGTCGAAGCCGACGATGGCGCGACTGAGAATGAAGTGCCTAACGTTGATAAAATACCAACGATTTCGCAATACTGTGATCCTAGTTACGATTCAACCGATTCCCCTTCTACTTACGTTATCTACGAAAATATTAGTGAAATTGATAACACTGATAAGTCCAAGGTGCCTGTAGATTTGCCCAAACGGAGAGTCAGCCTGCCTTCAAACAATGAGCCTGAATCAACTCAGGTTAACGGTACTGTTCAGATGCCACAGGTGTCACCTCATGGAAGGCCACGAAGCGCGTCAACTTCGACCCAGGTCGATTCTAACGAATTGGGTGAGTAATTCCTAAGAACGCAATGTCCTTCTGTACGCTCCCTGACCATTCAGAATTAGGTCTATTATTCCCCAGTTTAGAAATTATATTGACCATCTTGTCAATTTTTAGACGCTAAAGCAGCCAGTATAGAACAACCATCATCTAAACCAACATTTAGCCCCGGACCGACTAGGCCACCTTTCCGCATACCTGAATTTAAGTGGTCTTACATCCACCAGCGACTGTTATCCGACGTTCTCTTTTCTCTCGAAACTGATATCCAAGTCTGGAGAAGCCACTCAACAAAGTCGGTTCTGGACTTTGTCAATAGTAGCGATAATGCTATATTTGTCGTTAATACTGTACATCTTATATCTCAATTGGCCGACAATTTAATAATTGCCTGCGGTGGACTGTTGCCGCTGCTAGCCTCTGCCACATCACCAAATGTGAGTTTTCTAATATACCTAACGGCAGTAAGCCATTTTTGCGGTATTTTTAGAATGAATTAGATGTCATCGAACCGACTCAGGGAATGCCGATTGAAGTGGCAGTCAGTTTCCTTCAAAGACTGGTCAACATGGCCGATGTACTTATATTTGCAAGCTCTTTAAATTTTGGAGAGCTCGAAGCGGAGAAGAACATGTCGAGCGGCGGCATTTTGAGGCAATGCTTGAGATTGGTAAGGTTAATGTTTATGCATATTGCGTGTTTCGCTTTTACATCACTGTGTTCATAATTGTATATTCACATATATATATATATATATATATATATATATATATATATATATATATATATATATATATATATATATATATATATATATATATATATATATATATATCGATGTTGTATATTGTGCCGCCCGTTAGGTTTGCACATGCGCTGTGAGAAACTGTTTGGAATGTAAAGAAAGAAGCCGACCACGTCATGCAATGGCACCTTCGTCGCTAAATGCTAATCACAAGGCAGCACATTTGCAGTCTTTTATACGTGGAGTACAGAATTCTCCTAAGGTAATGTATATATTAATCGACTAATCGATCTTGTATAATTTTTTTCTTATTTTGTACCTGTTTTTGTAGCAAAGATCTTATTCTGATGTTTTCTTTAATTATTCAGTTGCAAATCTATTGGTTGTATTCAATATGCATGATTGCACATATTTGTCACAAAGATACACTGCTTATTGATGTGAAAAATAATTAGTTTATTAATTTGTATACCTAATAGTAATTAGCATTGAGAGTTTTAGTTAATTTGGCAATAACAGATAATTTGCTTTTAATTAGTGTAATGTTAAACTAAGTATTTTTTTGAAATCGAAAGGATGGGAACACAATTAGTCCCCAATTCATAATTTTTACAGGGGGTGAAGTTGACTACTGTTGCTGTACATTTTGAGGCATTTTATCCAATAATTTATCTGGTCTTCTTTGCACGACTGATTTTGAAATGTATTCATAATTTTTATTTAGAAATTGTGCTTTTCACTGCCATTAAGCAAAAATTTATTGCGTAGCCTTGTTTTACTTAATTACTAGGAATTTTAACCTATACCTAATAGTTTACTTGTGGAAAGATTGCCTAAAAATAAACTAAAAAAATATGTTTCCTCCAATAATTGCTCAACTTATTCCGTTTAGAACGTCGCCGAGAATTTATCGAGTCACTCGAGCCCAGTGAAAGATCCGGAGAAGCTCCTCCAGGATATGGATGTGAATCGCTTAAGGGCAGTAATATACAGAGATGTGGTGAGAATGTTTATCCAGGCATGTTTTTCGAACCGTCTAATTTTACGCCTAACACTTTCATTTGCAGGAGGAGACCAAGCAAGCCCAGTTTTTGTCATTGGCCATTGTCTACTTCATCTCAGTACTTATGGTATCCAAATATCGGGACATCTTGGAGCCACCCGGTAAAGTACGATCTCCAAGTCCGGTACATACGGTCATAACAAATGGAACCAATCATCAGGAAAATAATCATGGTTTGTAACATTTTCAAATTAACATGCTTTTTGCAAGCAGCATTATTTTCTCAGTTGAAGCTTGCTTTTTTAGTTATAGACAAATCAACTTGGACGTTTTTAGGCGTTTAAAAATTTTGAACAGACTTGGTCACTTGAGCTACTACATCTTTTGCAAATTTAAATATATTGGAGGTTAGAATATGTATTGAATTATTGTGAGGGTTTTATTTAAATCAAAAATGTTCAGATTTTCACGGTTAATTAATGATTTATGACAGCTGTTTGGCAAGACCTGCCTTTATCAAATACCTTTTTTTATTTTATTATTTTTTTATATATATAATTTTTTGTTTAAATTACATTTATGTAGTTCCTTCTCAATATATAGGTCAATGTGTCTTTCACTTATATATTTGTATAAAGTGTTTTCTGAGCTGTTAAAAAGAACTAAACTTACTGTATGTATGCGGGAATGGAGTGTGGTGATTAGTGTAGTACCTTAGGAGTTTTTAACGCAATGAAAATTAAATAAATTTTCCTTATTGTGAGCTACTATAATACAAAATCTGGTGACTGTTAAGCCTAAACAAAGTGATATGTAATTTTTGTTCCTTAAAAAATGTTTTTATTTATTTTACTTGCACTGCATTTCAAAAACAAAATTCGTACAGATATGATATAATATTAATTTATTTTTTTTTTATGACTGGCACAGAAAGGAGTACAAGACCTTTATTTCCCCAATGGTCTCGCCATGTATATCCCCAATTCCTGCCCGGCTCCCATCCCAATTCGGTGCCGCCGCGCCACAAACTCTACCCCCTAGCAAAACACAACCATCATTACAAACTAAACAATAACCACCACCATTTCCATTACCACAGTCACAAGGTCGAGCAGCGTAATCATAGAAATTATTTGGGCTGCCAAACAGGTAAATAGTATCCCCCCATTCCGTCTCCCATTGTTTATTTGCACGGTTACTGGACTAATTTTTAGCTTGTATTTTTTCGTTGTTTTCTCCAAATTCGAGAGTCTGAATCAAACCCCCTGTTATATTAGTGTTGTTAATAGGTGAAGTTCATAAATTATTTTACATAGCTTATTTCTTTTGGTACTGTTTATGTTACGGGAGGTACGACAAAAATGTGGTAAAAATTATTTCAATAAAATGGACTACATAGAAATGTATATTAACGCAAGCATTAGTCAAACTACTTGAATTAAATTATAATTGCGGCAATATACTTTTCAGACCTGTATATAATTTTTTCTGTTTTTAATTTGTATCATTGTAATGTATTCTTATTTTTTGCGTAATGCACTTTTATGGTTTATTATGCTTTCTTGTATTTTGGATATGGGAAAGAACGGCTTATGATCAATATCGGTAAAAAGGAGATGTCCATAATTATTTTGTCATTTGTTTGGGCTTTGATGTCTGTTTTTATTTTTGGTATACTGTATTTAAGTGTTTCAATCAGTTTTGTTCCGCGGTCTGTGCCGGTGGTGCAGTAAGTGCATGAGAGGCACTAGCACGAGTGCGGCAAAATCCGCTTTGACAAATATTTTAGATCAATATAAAATTCCGCAACCTTTTACGTCGCGTGCTTTATTGTTGCTGGATTATTTTAATGCTGAATTCCACGCAGTATAACTGTGTGTTCAACACTCAAACTCTTTGTTTTGCGTGACAAGAATGGCTTTCTCAAAGTTTATATTCAAAATTCAAGAAGAGTTTTTTCCTGAGTTCTAATATCATCATGCTCTGTCTTATCGTGTCGTTCGGATCCCATCTCGTCTGGATTTTCCGACCGCCCTTCTCCAGAAGTTTATCTCCATGACCCTTAGTGTTCTTTGTTTTTTTCTTTCAAAGGCCATTCTTCCTTCAGCACCATAAGTTATTATGTCTTTCAGTTGTACATTTGTTGTCCTAAAGTTTTACCAGCGGTACGCTGTCGTACATTTTTTATTAACGTTATCTTTTTTTCAGTATATTCTTCTAATGGAACTTGTAACCGCTAAACCATGCTAATTGTCTTCATTTTTGTGTATGGTGAACAAGACGTTTTCCATTCTTCTTCTATATTTAACATGACCTCCAGGGCTATTTTCTGGTCTCGGGACTTTGACAATCTTTAAATAAAATTAAAAATAATTGGTTTCCTTTTCTCAATTATGGTTCTTTATAACATTTCAACTTGGGTAAAAATTAATTTTAAAACATGTGCGGTACTAATATACTGGTCGTAAGCAATATGCTTATTTTATGAAATGTCATATATTTTTCCAACCGACTAATGTACATTTTTTCGGCACAGTATTGTTTAAAAAAAATATTCGCAAAAAGTTAAAAATGTGCACTCAATGTGAACTGTCAATGTATCAATCCTATGTGTAATCGAACTTGTCTTCGTACTTAATTAGCATGGTTTTGCATGACATTCCAGTTGGAATCCAAATAATACCGCCGTGTGTAAGTTTTTATGACAATTTTTGCAGGTTCGAGAGCGATTCAGAACCAACCCCAAGAGGAAGAGAATGAATATGATGTTATTACCGCCTATATCCTGGAAGACGGAAACTCCGTAGACCAGGAAAACGAAATGTATTCTGGTCCAGCGTCGATAAAGGTATCCAGAATTTAAGTTTTATTTACTTATTGGTTATTTTGACTGAAAAGTGCTCTGTAGTTAAACATGTCACCTCAAAGTTCAAATGTAGATACCAAAATGTCATACGCCATTATAAATAAGGAATCATTGGTTGTCGGTGTTAATTCATTTGCTTTTATAAGTAGTTTTGGTTAGCGGCGAAGATGTATACAGTGTGTAACACTTTACTGATCGAAAAGAGTTTATTGAACCCGGAAACACACTGCATATAGTGAGAAAAGTAGAGCATACTAACTATAAATGTCTTTTTATTTAATGTTTTCTGTAAAACTCAAACTTAAGCCTTATTTTTTTTATTGCTTTCTATATTTGGGACCTAGGTGGTCTTTATCAGATGGTTTATTACTTTTGAAAATAACATTAAATATATTTTCAAGTTTACTGCTCTACTTTAGTTGCTTATGTAATATTAAACATTCTAAAAAAATATAAGTGATATGATTAGATACTATACTAGAGTTCTAGTTTGTTATCAAAATATTGTTTGCAGAGTATTTACTTTTCTGGGCATGCGTTTGGCGATGACATAAATTTTTTAACAATCGCACCAAACACCTTCAGTACAAAAGTTACAGAAGGTTTTGTAAATAGTCAATATGTAAACACCCTGAAAAATTCTACACTAATCCATTTCAATATTTGTAGCTAGCCGCACTTTAACCAAATAATATATTTGAGAAACAGACCTTTATCTGTGCCTTCTTCTAATATAGATAGAGATTTGAGTAAGTGTGTGTGAGAATGTCGCAAATTGTTCTCTAATTAACTAACTGTACTAACAACGCCTTGCAATTATCAAATTTCCTAACCTAGGTAAACGCTAGACAACGCCCTTCTTTAGGACATGGGTTTACCGTAGATTACTCTTTGGATGGAATTAAGCATGCTCGAGGTTGTAATGCTGTCTGCATTGTAAAAAAGGTAATGCCGAAGTTTGCATCTTATTTTTGTTTGCATGGTTTCTTTTATGATTCGTCATAATGTGTTCGGTGATTTGTGGCATTGTAGAGAAAGAATTTCTTTTTGACAGGTCAAGGCAGATATCGATTTGTTATTGGGATAATCCTAAGCAATAAATATTATACTTCTTATAGTTTAAGACAGAAACCACACAACAAAAGAAGATACATTAACTCCTATTAAAATATCGTTAAACACCAAATGCATTTTAGTCACTATCAAGATGGGCCAAAATACAATTGCTAGAATTTATTGCTCCTAAAATTAATACTAGTTTATATTGACAACAGAAATAAAAAAGTCAAGTGGTGACTTACTTGTCTTAAGTTTTGGATTTAAGAAAAGAAAGTTTTTTAATTTTATTTACATCTAGAAAAATAAAAGGTTTTAGATTGTGATATATCATTGCAAAGAGAAAAAGACGCATTACTTAAGCCGCCCACAAATATTTGAATGTCACAAGACTAAACCTTAGAAATCTCAAGACCATTTTGTTTCGGAGATACAGCTGCTTACCCTTAAAATTTGTTATACCCAGTCATTTGAGTTACATAACAACTACGTCCCATTTTTACTGTATACTATAGTTTGGGACTTAAGAAAAAAAAGTTTTTATGTAATTTAACTTAAAAGGTTCCTGTGACAATTTTTTATTGCCAACATAGGGAATCCATCTTGGATTTAGATTATGTGAATGTTGAGTACTTATTTTACTTTATACTTTATACATTAGCATAATATAACAATATGTGTTAATAATAATAATAATAAATGTTCACTTTTTACAAAGATCTGACTTTTTGCGTGTCACCCAAATTGTTTTTTTTTTCTTTGCTAACAAGATTAATGGTTTATATAATGCATTTCCTTTTGTGGTTATGTATGTAGTATAGGTTTTCCTTATATTAAATTATGGTCAATTATAACCGCAGAGTACCGACTCGGTGGAAGATTCTGTTGCCTCTGCCGACCTCGGTGCTCACACCGAAGTAATTGAAGATAACAAAATAACTGGTGACGAGAACTGGACTGACATCAACTTAAACGAAGAATCCGACTTAGGCGACGAAAGCCGTAACGCAGACAACATCCACGCGCACGCCGTTGACATTGAAGGTAACGTGGACGTTTCTTCTGACCGAGGTGACGTCCAACATCGTCACATTTCGGTAGTAAAGGTGCCAGAGCATTTGATACGTGTGCCGTTGCACCACATGAGGCCGGACGATTTGCCAATTAATAATCTGGTCGATCACTTGTCCATGCCCACTCCAACACGAGAGGCTTCATTGACCCAAAAATTGGAATCCGCGCTTGGATCCGTTTGTCCGTTATTAAGAGAAATCATGGTCGATTTCGCTCCATTTTTGTCGAAAACTCTTGTCGGATCGCATGGACAGGAACTTTTGATGGAGGGGAAAGGTTTGACCACGTTTAAAAACAGCAGTTCAGTTGTCGAACTTGTGATGTTGCTGTGCTCTCAAGAGTGGCAGAATTCGTTGCAAAAACATGCCGGACTGGCGTTTATTGAATTGATTAACGAAGGCAGATTATTGTCGCATGCTATGAAAGATCACATTGTTCGAGTGGCAAATGAAGCCGAATTTATTTTGAACCGGATGAGAGCGGATGATGTTTTGAAGCATGCAGATTTTGAGGTGAGGCGAAAAATTAGCAAATGATTCCAAAACCATTGCATATGGTATTGAAATCATTTTGAATCACGGTTTTATATGGTTCAATTTACGACAGTGCAATGGTTTTACATTTTCCAAGTTTTCTTGAAACTCGAGGCATATAACAAAAAACATTTTTGCAGGCACAATGTGGCCAAACTTTGCTCGATCGCAAGGAGGAAGAGCGCATGTGCGATCATCTAATAACGTCTGCCAGAAGGCGCGATAACGTCATTGCCAGTCGTTTGTTGGAGAAAATCAGGAATATATTGTCTAATAAGCACGGGGCGTGGGGCTCGGCAGATTCGCAGGAATACAGGTGAACTACTCGTCAGGAGAAATCCCAGTGTCCTAAGTTTTTGTTTTTGTTTCAGATTGTCCCAATTTTGGAAATTGGACGCGTGGGAAGATGACGCTAGACGTAGAAAGCGTTTCGTGCACAATCCACTTGGCACGGCTCATCCCGAAGCGAGTTTGAAGGCAGCTATTGAGCACGGCGCTACTGAAGACGCCGTTCTACAGGTTAGTCATCACGGAAATTTATAGTCGTAGATGAAATGAGATTTGCTTGACAGGCCCGAGAAGAATTCCACGCGCATTTGGCAGCAACGCGCAATCATCAACAAAACCAAACAAGCGAGCTGTTAGACGACAGCGAATTGCTCATCGATGACAGAGAACTGGATAACGACCTTAATGGTACCGAAGAAGAGCGTTATTTTCCTTCAATTATTAATTCAAATATTTTTTCTTCCAATTATAAAGGGTCGGTGAATATTAGTACGAAAGCAAAACTGATCGCTCCCGGTGTTGATGTACCTGGCATAGTATCCATTACTTCAGCCGAACTCTATTTTGAAGTGGACGAAGATAGTGACGACTTTAGGAAAGTGGATGGTGAGGTAAGTGAGTTTAAATTACCTGTGTATATCTATCGCAATGTTGAATTATTGATTGAATGATTGATAGAAATTTATGTCCGATAATTTTCAAACATCGCCACGGATCTAGATTGTTCTGTTTTATTAATCAATTCTTTAAGTTATAAGGACACTAACCATCATAAAATTGGGACATTTTATATTGAATGTGTTAGAGGAAATTGATTAGACGAACTGTGTATAAGGAGACTTTAATTATTCGATGTCACTTCCTAATCCCTATAAACATTTTTTCCCAAGCTCCTAATGAATCACAGTATACAGGGTGTATTAATTTATTATAGTCAGTGAATGCTCTAAACTTCTAGAATTCAAACCGTTACTTTTAAACAAGACGTTTAGTTGGCCACATTTTTTTTTTCAAACTTCAAATGGCATGCCAATTTTTCTTGTAATAGTCAACTTGTAAGTATTACTGCGATGATAAGTTTTATTTTGACGATATGTAATAGAACAAAAAAAACAGTGGCCGACTGCTTTTTCATAAAAAATCTAAAAATCAATAATTATGTTAAACAAAAATTATTCCTAGAAAATTGTAAATCTTAAGATTATATCTTGTCCCAGAATTATGTTCATTATATCCAGATTTTGCACCGAGAGAGACTTTTATTCAATGGCGGACATCATGCTATTCGATGATATATCGTAACAAATTCGTTTGCGCCAACTCTCACGTCCGACGGTATTATTTTTCGGCCTTTGGTCGATACGTCCATTATAATCATTCTTTAAGCGTCGATTTCAATTAGCGGTTAGCGGACAAACCAAATAGCCGCGGGGCCGGGCCGGCCGGAGCCAATTATCGGATATAATTTATAATATAATTATATGGCCATTGTGACAGGGTGTTATGATACTGCGTGGGTCATCGGTAGTAGTGCCCGGGACCACCGAGTCGAACTCGGTTAATTCTAGTGATTATATGGCACTAGAATGTCCGGCTGGCGTGGTCCGCTGCCGATGAATTATTGATAAACGATATATTGTATATTCATTATTACTCGTTAGTCAAAAGAGTACGAACATTTTCGGAGTTCCGCATAAATATGTATGGGCACAAGATTGAATTTAAATCTAGGGCAATTATTACTGTATAACAATTTTACACGTATTTATTGATCAAAAGGACTCGGGCGGAATTTTCTGATATTTTGTTTAATTTTGTACTTTGATGGAAGCCAAACTCGACTCAGTTTTGGCACAATCGCTGTCCAGTTTGACATACCGATGGTTAAAGCTATTGTACGAAGTTGCATAAGATCATATTTAGATATTTTTGAAGCAACATTCATTAAAATTATTAAAATTTTCTTATCTCTGATGGATAATGAAAAGAAGAAACTTTCCCACCACATTTCACTGTACACTGGATTCCAAAGTAGATGTCTTTTAGAGGAGATCTTCAGCTTTTCAGGGAGAAATTTAACTGAGCAACTCATGTTTGGATATTTCCACAAATTTTGTAAATTATTGAGTGATTTCATGTTTAATTCATTTTTGAGGATACCCCCTCTATAGTTGCTTGTAAATTTAAAAAGATAAGAACGATTTTTTGTGGTTGATTTGTTTGGTGAATTCGTTGACGTGCACAAAACATTTTTAGGTCTACCATTTTTGTTTTGAAACCATCGAATTTTCGAAGTTGTAAGTATAGTAAAGTAAAACAAATTAGAGATGAATTAGCATCTTCAGCCGTTTAACCAGTTTTTTCAGTAAAATAAACCCAATTAGAATCAGTGAATTTGCATGTTCGCTCGTTTCATTTGATACAACGCACCTTCATAATTTATCACCGGTCTAGTCATTTTGATGTAGACTGTCACACAGCAGGAACAACAGTTAGACCAGAAAATAATAATTGCATATTGCATATTCAGATTGCCTTGGACTGAAAATTAAACTGAACTTAAAAATTGGGGTAACTTTGTGTAAGTTATTTTCCAAAAATTTTATTTTCTTCGCAGATATGCTTAAATTTGTTGATTAGTAATGAATTCGACCATTGTTTACCAAAAGTTAATCAGAACCCATTTGTGGAATTAGTAGACAAAGTAGTAAGACCACTGGATCAGTTTTTTATACAAGAAATTGTTTTTTGAGATTTGAATTAGTGTGATTAGCGATGGTCTTTCCATTAATCGGGAATCGCTGGAATTGTTACTAGACAAAGTAACCAATCCGCTGAAATAGCTTTTTTCATATTTGAAGTTATTAAATGCGGGGTTGTAGGAGTTTACCTTGCCGCCCGACTAATGCTGTCATTATGGGACCCTACCGAGTCGTCCAGTGACACGACAAGCATTTTGTATCAAATCTTTGCAGCAATGATTGGCAATTTTTGCTATTTGGCCCTCAACCGTGAGATTCATTCATTAAATTATATGATGTTATTTCGTACAGCGTAAATATCAAAAATTAAATTTTCGTATTATTAAAACGCACATAGTCAGGCCGGGTCAACATAACCCGCTCGTTGAGATTCTTCTCCGCAGTCTTTTTTTCTTTCATCGCTCGATCCGTCCACGAAAGAAACTGTAAAACAATAAAACGCTGCTGGCGGCATCGACCCTACGTGTTGTCTGCGACCGGCGTGGAACCACGGCGCCAACAAACGCCCGGTGTTTTTCGGCGAGTGGTCCGGCCGATATCGACGGGGGCTCCACGCGAGATATCATGGAAGAAACGCCGAAATTCTAGCCGTCGATAAAGATTTCTCACTTTACGCGTCTTAGAAATCGATACACACATAGTCAGACTAACTGTTGCCGCAATGGTTCAAAAATTTCTAATTAATATGAACCATATCTAAATCAGAGACCACCAAAATATTGGCAAGCTACCGCGTACTTGGGCCGGAGTAAGTCCAATTTACTAGCGTCCACACAAGCACGCTGTTAAGTAGAAAAGTGCGAAATTCTTATTGTTTTGACATTGGAAATTATTAGTCAATATCTAAAAGATTCTAATGAAAACTTTTAGATCCGGGGAACCTATTTTGAATCAACAAAATCATATTTGTATTACTTCGACATTTAGAAGTCGTTCTCGATCCCAACTATTTTCAAATCAATTTTTCTATGTTCCTAGGTTTTGTAGCAATAACTCAAGTAAATGAAGTAAATAGAGTAGTATTGTCGTTACATGACCATTTTAAGCAAGTAATATGAATACCATCGGCGTACATACGGGGATAAGGGGCAATATCCACCACAATCGTCTCTAAATATGTACGATGTTTTTTCATACTCAATTTTTATGACTATATCACCTCCTATGGCCAATGTCCGAGTATGCCTATGATACATACGGTGATAAAACAGGATTCTCTTATGAGACTTTGTTTCATTGAAAATTTTTAAATAAAAAGTTTTAAATATCATTCAAAATGTTTAAAATAATTAGGTTATCTAAGAACATACCGGGGTTAAGTATAAGAAATCTGAAGGAATGTAAAGTCTGTTCATAGATATAAGAAAGTGATTAACTGATACGAATTAAGGAAACACCCGGGCAAGCTGTAAGAATGAAGTATGGCCGAACAGTTCCGAACCTTGCTTAGAATTTAATTATTTGGGGTTTTGTTAGGAAAGATACTAAACAATATTTATTTATGTATGTATTTATGTTTAAATCTAAAATAAAATTACAAATTATTTTTATTACCTACTTAAATTACTTAAAATTATTCACATAATATATCAGTATTACTATCGCTAGCATAGCCTGTTCTAATTATTATTTGTTCTTTGTGGATATACGATTGTTCTGCTTTTTCTATATGTTTAACAGAATTTGCCCAACTTTGTGGAGGAATGTTAAAAACTTAGGTTTCTATAAGTTTGAGGACATTGGAGTTAACACGGGGAAAACATTGTTACGACGAATGGCAGATTTCAGTTGGTGCCAAACATGTTCAGTGGGATTAAATATACAGTGGTAAGGTGAGAGCCTTAAAACTGTATTCCCTAGATTTTTTGCATAATTATCACAGTATTCCTTTTGTAGGTTCAAGCTTTGTAGAACTTCAATTAATTGCTTTTTGGTATAATCTTCGTGAAAATAAATGTCGTTATTATACATGTAGTTTTGGATTGTTGCTTTTGTGTCACATGAGGAAGGGGTTTAGTCAACTGTCTACTGTGATAACTTGCATTGTTGAATACACTTCCATAAGGTAGTTCTGCCACATTTATCACCGGTTTCATCTTTTTCAAGCCTCCTAATTAAGATATCTAATGTAGGCACGCTTTGTTCCTCGTATAACTGGTAAATTTTACGCCGTATTATATCTTGATCACTTTCATCTACACTCGAGAAAATGTTAGCATCCCTTCTTTTTTTCCTCGCTGAAATGGAATTATTCACAATTTTCCATACAGTTGATTTTGGAATTTTCGTCAATGTGGCCGTTTCTTCTAAATATGCTTGCTTGCTGGCACCATGTTTAATGAGAGTCAAATAAACATTGTTTATAACTTCCTTAGTCTCAATGGAATAGTGTTTTCTACATTTGGGCGGGAGCATCTCCTGAGATACACTAGACTCGCACATATTTTGCATAATTCGCACACGATTCAACACACGAAATAAGAATGATTACTAATAAACTTAAACTAAGTAGTATACCAAACGAAACAATATTACACACAGGTAGGTATAAAATTATTTTCTATTACGGACCATAATTTCACCTGACTTTAGATTCCGAAACTTTAAGTAATGATCTTGTTGCATTGTATGTTAATGACCACCCTTGGATAATCCCATTCAGAAGCAATTGGTCACTTTCTTATATCTATGAACATACCATACCTCGAATAAGAATTTACCAGGTTTTCCTATTTTCATTGCATGGCAGACGTTCAAACAAGTTTTAAAAAAAAAATCGATAAAATAGATATGGATATGGATATGGAGTTATCCACATCCGGTTATCCTTTATTATGCTGACTTATATA